ATAGAGGATAGCCACGTTCTACTCTGCGACGTTGGCGCTTAGGGGCTGTAAGTTAGCGGGGTGCAGGTTGCGGAGTAAGTGGTTGAAGGGTCAGGAGATGTGGCAGGTCAGATGAGTCCTGGTCCAATCTCGCTATCTGGACGCTAAGGCAGGTCAAATTGGACTCGGTTGCTGGTCACTCACGAAGACTGAGATCTTTCCGGATTGGTCAATGAAACAAGCATACCTATATAGTGCGGATGTTACCGGACACCGGACAATGGTGACTGGTTATGACAGTATCATCAAATGCAAGACCTATACTATGGTCAGATGACGAATATAGATTAATAGAGACCGGATATAGCAGATAAGAAGCATGTGGTATAGGTATCCTGAGTCCAAGTACGTGACCGGGGCTCCCGTTTAGGAAATAGAAGGGCTATTCAGCATCCTTGATTTGGGCAGAAATTATTGGGAGGACAGGAGGAGAATACTTAGCGACTTGCATGTTAGAGAAGAATTAATACCCGGCCACGATATGATTGCAGGGTCTGTGGCGCAGTGCAGTTAATTAACCAAAAGAGAACGGCTGAAGCCGCCCAAATGCCGAGGAACAACGAGGATGGCCTGCAGTCAGCGTCACATCAAGCGATATTGGACAGTACCTGCCCGCCGCTTTTCAAGAAGCTTGGATACTAGTCCGGAATTACTCCTTATGTTCCGGACACGTCAGATGATGGTCAGGACACGCACACACTAAATCTCCTGGTCCAGCATGTCTCTACCTACTTTTGTCAGCTCACTGTTTATAGCGCACGCATACTACGCAATCGATTCTCTCTATGGGAACCTTTCCTGCAACTACAGTATTCCCCTAAGTTGACACAGGTCATTCCGCTATATGTTTAATTGTGATCCTCGTTCTTCTTTCAATTTCAGGAGGGTAAATTCACACCCAGACAGGAAGCGTGAGAATGACTCCAAGCGGACTAGATGAAGAGCGTTGGAAGATATCAGGGAAAGGTATACCCGAAGGTGTTGATTATACAGAGTGAGACTTCAAGTATGATGTATCATTCTATGAGTTCTCAATGAGCTCCAATTCATTCATGCTGTTTACCGCGTTTTGGGAGCAGCTGTTGATACTGATCTTCGGTTAGAGCTATACACTGCTTAACGAGCAGCGCAATATCTCATACATAGATGCGACCCTAAGCCCCTGCAACAGTTCCAGAATGAAGGTATGCAAGAACAGCAAGGCTAGAAGATCCTAACTGGAGGGAGAGAGGGCCTGAAGTTGTCGGAACAGCCGGAAAAGTAGGCACTTTACAAATTATGCCGAATCGGGCAGACTAGCTGCTGTACTGTCGTTCGATTAACCTCTCCTATTTGACAACAAATCGACTGTTGCATGGGATCTCCACACCTAATGCAAGCATGGCTCGAACATGATGTATTGCCTGAAAGAGGAGCTTGTACATACCGAAGGGAAAAATACATATCCAAAACAGAGCGTCATTTCTTCATAGCATACTTGTATAGGGCAGTTTGAGAGTCGGTTGCACTAAGAGCCTCATATCAAATACTGGTATCAGTAGCCAGATCCGCTGGCCATTAAATCGTATAGGGCTCTGCTTAACTATTAGGCTAGTGCTTGATAAATGGGTTGGCTGCTCCAGGGTTACTTCCTGATGGCTCAGGACACGCACTGGGCAAGCACACCCACGATCAGGCAGTTGATGCCTGAGCAAAAAGCGGCGGCGTAACGGGGCCGAATTAGGCAAGAGAAACCCCTAAAGTTCTGCAGAAATGTAATACGACGTAGTAATGAGTAAAGAGTACGGACTAGTGTTGTTCTACTAAGATGCTGCATAACCGCTGACCCCACGGCTATTTAGCCGATTCCTGATCGGTCAAGGCACTGCGCCGACTAGTTCCTAGTCGAGGTACCGGAGGCTAAAGGCATCAATCACATCTCATCTCGGTTGCACTAGTTGACTGAACTCTGTAATTTCTTCACTTCTTCACGCGGGGAATCGACTCTTCTCCATGGGGACATACAACGGCATACGGTCCGCAAAGCCGTCGAGGACGATGCTGAGCAGCTTGCTGCAGCAATCCATGGACGTCCTTAGCGGATGAGTATGTTGAATCTCTTCAACTCGTTCTTATGCTCATAAGATATAAAAGCAGGTCTACCTCTGTTCGCATCTCGTCTTCATTCTCAACCTCAACTCATCACTCCCTCAACCAGTCAATTCTTTGGCAATCCATCACAATGCTGGCCTCTACCTTCTCCTACCGCATGTACAAGCGCGCGCTCATCTTGGCCGCTCTTCTGGGCTCCGGTCAGGCTCAGCAGGTCGGTACTTCCCAAGCGGAAGTGCATCCCTCCATGACCTGGCAGACCTGCACCGCTGGCGGTAGCTGCACCACCAACAATGGCAAGGTGGTCATCGATGCCAACTGGCGTTGGGTGCACAACGTCGGCGGCTACACCAACTGCTACACCGGCAACACCTGGGACAAGACCCTCTGCCCGGACGATCAGACCTGCGCGTCCAACTGCGCCCTCGAGGGTGCCAACTACCAGTCCACCTATGGTGTGACTGCCAGCGGCAACTCCCTTCGCCTCAACTTCGTCACCACCAGCCAGCAGAAGAACATTGGCTCGCGTCTGTACATGATGCAGGACGACTCCACCTACCAGATGTTCAAGCTGCTGAACCAGGAGTTCACCTTTGATGTCGACGTCTCCAACCTCCCCTGTGGTCTCAACGGCGCTCTGTACTTTGTCGCCATGGACGCCGACGGTGGCATGTCCAAGTACCCAGCCAACAAGGCTGGTGCCAAGTACGGTACTGGTTACTGCGACTCTCAGTGCCCTCGCGACCTCAAGTTCATCAACGGTCAGGCCAACGTTGACGGATGGCAGCCCTCGTCCAATGATCCCAATGCGGGTACTGGCAACCACGGCTCCTGCTGCGCGGAGATGGATATCTGGGAGGCCAACAGCATCTCTTCGGCCTACACCCCTCACCCCTGCGACACTCCTGGCCAGGTGATGTGCACGGGCAACGCCTGCGGTGGCACCTACAGCACCGACCGCTACGGTGGCACCTGCGACCCCGACGGATGCGATTTCAACTCCTTCCGCCAGGGCAACAAGACCTTCTACGGCCCCGGCTTGACCGTCGACACCAAGAGCAAGTTCACCGTGGTCACCCAGTTCATCACCACCGATGGCACCGCCAGCGGCACCCTCAAGGAGATCAAGCGCTTCTACGTGCAGAACGGCAAGGTGATTCCCAACTCGCAGTCAACCTGGTCCGGCGTCAGCGGTAACTCCATCACCAACGCTTATTGTACCGCCCAAAAGAGTGCGTTTGGGGACAACAATGTCTTCGCCAAGCACGGCGGTCTGGAGGGCATGGGCGCTGCTATGGCCCAGGGAATGGTTCTCGTCATGTCCCTGTGGGATGACCACGCGTCCAACATGCTCTGGCTCGACAGCAACTACCCGACCAGTGCCGCCTCCACCACCCCTGGTGTGGCCCGTGGTACCTGCGACATCTCCTCTGGCGCGCCCACCGATGTCGAGACCAACCACCCCGACGCCTACGTCGTCTACTCCAACATCAAGGTCGGCCCTATCGGCTCTACCTTCAGCAGCGGTGGTTCGAACCCAGGTGGCGGAACCACCACCACCGCGCAGCCTACTACCACCACTACCACTGGTGGTAGCTCTGGTGGCACCGGTGTCGCTCAGCACTATGGCCAGTGTGGTGGAATCGGATGGTCTGGTCCAACCTCTTGCGCCAGCCCATACACCTGCCAGAAGGCGAACGATTACTACTCTCAATGCCTGTAGATGACTTCCTACTACTGGGAGCTGGATGATGTTGACGGCTTGAAGGAAAATGTTTTACTATTTACATGACTAGTTGAATTCAATCTTTCAATGCAATTATTTTATCTACATCGGTTTCTCTTGTATTTCCTTTCACAGGACTAATAAACCTCGCTGACCCTTAAGACTCGGTGTCTGCATTAATCTATATTCCATCCAGCTGATTGGACAATACCTGAAGAACTACCCTTAGGGCAACCTAATGCAAGTCTTGGCCCTGACTAGTCTAGCGCTTGCCTTGATTTAGCCTGTACGAGGAGTCATCTGCTGCAAGGCATCGTGTTATCCCCTGCGCCTGCATATCCTTTTCCCCGGCGTCACTTGCCGGTTTCTGGGGTGCAGTGTGGCAGCGTGACATTGACATGCAGGGATTCTTTTTGAGCCATGCCTTAGGCCTTGGAATTCACTCAAGTGAAACTCGAAATTCAGGCAAATCAAGCTATTCTCCGCAAAGCCTGGAGGACTCGGGTCTTCGCTATACTCTCAACCCCGCAGATTCATTTGCTCGTATTGAATACGCGAATATTAGCCTAATACCAGAATTGTTGACTTGCATGTGCAGTGGAGGGTAGTCGACTAAACTAATTACTTGTGTAATCTGCTCATAGTACCCAAGGAATATTAATTTCCATTACTGAGTTGATCACTGGTCAGTCCTGGCCTCATTGATGCTGGTCATTCGAGCTAGCCTAGCCATCCGGATTAGGCCGGATCATCCTCCATCAGTCGACACTCAACGGCAGTCTACTTGCAGAGTAGTCGGGGGAGTACCCGTTCGGTCGCTTCGTACGGTGGCTGTGAGCCCTGCAGAACACCTCGCCTCCATTTGGGCGTCGTCGCCTGCAGGGTAGACGCCATGCAATCTATTCCCGGAGATTACACCCTCAAGTACCGTGACGAATCGGTTAGGCAGTCCTAACGGGCTCCGTTCCGGTTTGGGATGGTGTGTCTCTGCAGACATGTAGATCTGCAGAAAGTGTCGGGGTGCGGTCCGAAGGGCCGTCGTGATGTCTTGTTGTTTGGCGGTGCAGAATATATATAGCTTTATGAGCTGAGCTGTACTTGTCTTTCAGTGCAGTGTATAGCTGGTAAGTACAGTGTATACAAGATGAAGGCTTCGGCTATTATTTGCGCGCTTCTCCCCCTCGCTTTGGCGGTACCCAATGCGAAACGGGCTTCGGGGTTCGTTTGTATGTTTCTCCCTTTCTCTGTCTCTTACGAAGCTGACGGTGCTGGATAGGGTTCGGAACGAGCGAGTCTGGAGCCGAGTTTGGAGAGACCAAGTTCCCTGGCGTGCTGGGGACGGATTATATCTGGCCGAGTGCGTCGACGATCAAGACTCTGCATGATGCCGGGATGAACGTCTTCCGCGTTGCCTTCCGGATGGAGAGGCTGATCCCCAACACGATGACGGGGACTCCCGATGCGACGTACATGAATGATCTCAGGACGGTTCGTTTGCTGTCTGGATGTGAGAGCGTCGCTGACGAGGTTAGACTGTCAATGCGATTACGAGTCTGGGGGCGTATGCGGTGATTGATCCCCATAACTATGGGAGATAGTGAGTTTTGTTTCCTCTGATCTGATAGGCATTGCTGACGGGACAGCTACGGCAACATCATCTCGTCGACTGATGACTTTGCTGCGTTCTGGAAGACCGTGGCTGCCCAGTTTGCGTCCAATGATCATGTTATTTTCGACACCAGTATGTCTTCATCAATCTGGAATGGAATGGAAGAAGCTGACGAAACAGACAACGAGTACCATGACATGGACCAGACCCTCGTTCTCAACCTCAACCAGGCCGCCATTAATGCCATCCGTGCCGCCGGCGCAACCTCACAGTACATTTTCGTTGAGGGCAACTCGTGGACCGGCGCGTGGACATGGACCAATGTCAATGACAACCTCAAGGCCCTCACTGACCCCCAGAATAAGATCGTCTACGAGATGCACCAGTATCTTGACTCAGACGGGTCCGGCACCTCGGCCACCTGCGTGAGCTCCACCATCGGCCAGGAGCGCGTGCAGTCCGCCACGCAGTGGTTGAAGACGAACGGTAAGAAAGGTTTCCTGGGAGAGTTCGCTGGGGGCGCCAACAGCGTGTGCGAGTCCGCTGTCACGGGCATGCTTGACTACATGTCTGCCAACTCGGATGTGTGGATGGGCGCTTCATGGTGGGCAGCTGGCCCCTGGTGGGGGAATTACATATTCAGCATGGAGCCGCCGTCTGGCACTGGCTATCAGAACTATCTCTCGTTGTTGAAGCCGTACTTTGCCGGTGGTTCGGGTGGCACCCCTCCAACTACCACCAGGACGACTACCACCACCAATCCGACAACGACCACTACCACTAGTGGTAATCCCGGCAGTACCGGAGTCGCACAGCACTATGGCCAATGCGGTGGAATCGGATGGTCTGGTCCAACCTCTTGCGCCAGCCCATATACCTGCCAGAAGCTGAATGACTACTACTCTCAATGCCTGTAGCTCATCCTAGCACATATAGCTAGCTTCTCTCACTTAAAATTGATTGCCTTTCACTTCGTCTCTGAAACCTTGTTGTAATGACTTCAAGCAACCAATTCCTCCACACTCTTCATCTCCCTCCCATTATTCTCCCCCACATCCAACGCAACCAACACCCGACTCACGCAGTTATAAGCCGCCACCCCCGTCGTCAGCTCCACAATCTCCCTCTCATTTAGCCCTACCGCTCTCAACCGCTCAAATGTCTCCTCCTCAACCCTCACCCGCAGCGTCATCTCATCCGTATACCGCACCACCGCCCTCTGCACCTCACTCAGCACACTCCGCCCCAGCGCTTCCTTGCCAGCATCAGTAATCGTCGCCTCCACCTCGCGCACCGCCCGCAGCTCGTCGGCCGTCACCCCGTCCTTCAGCGCAAGCGGCGCATGCGCGTTCCACTCGTACACGGCGCCGTTGAGGACCGCCACGCGGCAGACGGATAGCTCGAGGAGCGCGCCGGGGAGGATTGTGCGCGTGCGGATGGCGCCTAGGAAGCTGTTCCAGCCATCGGCGACTGGGGGGGAGTGTAGTAGGGAGAGATCGAGGGGGATGAGTGGGCGGGGGTGTCTGCGGGCGGCGATGCGGGCGTAGATTTCGGTGGTGGAGGGGTCGGCGTCGGCGGGTGGGGTGGAGGGGGCGTAGGGGAGGCGCATTTTGGATGTGGCTTTTGTTTTTAGCTGGATTGAGCAGAGTGTGCAAGGGAGTGAAGTCTATTAGAATGTGGTTTATAGGGTATTAAAATGATTATCTAGAGTTGAATGTGTTGTTGTGATCTGGGGTATATGATGATGTCAGGGAATTGAGTTTAGCCGCGGATATTGTTTCTCCCTCGATCTGCATTGCCGTCATGGAATGCCGTTCCCCGCATTATGCAGTATGGAGAGAAATTATCATCGCAAAGAGCAATGTAGTTCAACTTTATAGAATTATGTTACTTTTACATTCAATTGATCTCTTACTCCTGTCAACACAATGAAGCATCACTTAGTGATAGGCACGTGGACGCCCCCAGGGCGGCTGTATACCGTCGCATTCGACGACGAGGCCTTGACCTTGGAATTGGTCAAGAAGACTGAAATTCCAGAGGACGAGCCGATCTCCTGGTTGACTATTTCTGTATGTATTCAAGCTCTCCAACTGACATTCACTAACGTTATCCAGCATGACAAGAAAACCCTCTATGGAGCTGCGATGAAGAAATGGAACAGCTTCGCCATCAACAGCCCAACAGACATTGTACATCAAGTGTCCCATCCTCTTGCTGGTCACCGTATGCATTCTACTCCTTTGTTCGCACTGTCTCGTGCTGAGCGCATCTGCAGCCCTGGCCCCCAGCAGCGAAAGCAACACCCGCGCCATCTTCGTCCTAGCCGCGCACAAACCCCCCTACAACGTCTACGGCGCGCCCTTTTACAACTACGCTGGTTATGGCAACGTCTTCTCCGTCGACTCCTCTGACGGCCGCCTGGTTAAGAACATCCAGAACTACGAGTACCAGGAGAACACAGGCATCCACGGCACGGTCTTTGACCCCACAGAAACCTACCTCTACTCGGCCGATCTGCAGGCCAACAAGATCTGGACCCATCGCAAGGACCCCGGGACGGGCGAGCTGACCCTCGTCGACTGTCTCGAGGCCCCGTCGCCAGATGATCACCCCCGTTGGGTCGATATCCACCCCAGCGGCAAGTATCTGTACGCGCTGATGGAGGCAGGCAACCGTCTGGCGGTGTATGTGATTGATGAGAAGCGCAATGTGCCTGTCTTCACTCACATCACCTACCCATTGCTCCCGGCGGGTAAGTGTCTATGACCAGCTGTCCGTTCGATTACTGATGATGAATAGGCGTCCCTCCCACGAACAAATACCGCGGTGACGTCTGCTTCACCACGCAAAGCGGCGAGTACCTGTTTGCGACTACGCGCGGAACCTACGGACGCCCTTGGACAGGCTATATCACGGCCTTCAAGCTGGGTCCTAACGGCAACATTGAACGACAGCTGTTCATCCACTCCACCTCCAACAGCGGCGGTCATTCCAATGCGGTCAGCCCCTGTGACTTTAGCGATGAATGGTTGGCGCTGTGCGACGACCAGGACGGGTTCGTGGAGATATATCGCTTCAAGGATGAGACGCTGGCCCGGGTGGCTAGGCTGGACATTCCCGAGAAGGGATTCGGAATGAACGCAGTTTGGTACGATTAATGATAGACATAGAATTGAATAGAGGATTACTTGACAGTAAAAGATCTCATCTACTGTCTCTTGTAACGACGTAATAGTGGTGATGCTACGAGTCACGTGGCCGGGTCTCATCTTTTCCTTGTCAGGAGAACCCAACCTTGATCAACTTCATCTACTCATCATCCCATCCATCGCAGACTAAGAACGATGGAATTTGGCTTGTCTTGACTCTCAATATGACGAGTCAGGAAAATGTTTGATAAAGATGGCATGCGATGACTAACGTCCAACGGCATTGTCAGACATCGGCTCTCCGGTCGGCAGTCGAGATCGGCGTCGAGTGCTTTCCGAGGGTTCTGGGGTAGAATACGGCGCCAGTTGTGAGTCTCATCCTGCCAAATAAAACATCCTTGATCTTGTTCAATTACATTTGTTTATTGTCTTCATACTCAATACTCACCGGTTGTTGGTTATACTACAGCACACACAATGGCGACCCCCGGCCTGCTCTACGTCACAATGCAACCCCGCCCATCTCTCCCCGCGGCCCAGTTTCACGACTGGTACAACACAGAACACGGTCCGTTGCGTCTACGCTTGCCCTTTGTCACCAATGGCTTCCGATACAGGGCCACTGATGGACTCGAGCCGGAATGGGTTGCTCTGTACGATATCACCGACATGGTTGAGCTGACCCGCGAGACATACCTGGCGCTCCGAGGCGACGGCATCAAGACCCCACGTGAGAAAGCCACCATGGCTCAAATTGCCGTCGGTCGCCGACTCTACGATCTGTTGGACGATCAAAAAGCCCCCGACTACCGTCCTCTCGAGGATGAAACCGACGCCGCCTCCGCGGGCTCCGTGCTCATTGCCGTGTCCGTTGTAGTCCCGGCCGACCAGGAAGACGAGCTCAACCGCTGGTACCGCGAGGAGCACTTCGATATGCTCTCCCGCGTGCCTGGCTGGCGTCGCTCTCGCCGCTTTGTGACAGCGGCCATCGACCCCAACGCCCCTCGAGAGTTCCTTTCGTTGTACGAGTACGCGGCAAAGAACGGACTCGAGGGCCCCGAGCACAATGCTGCCAAGGACACCCCCTGGAGCAAGCGGATAAGCGAGATTGCCATCAGCAAGAAACGTCGAGTCTACGAGTGGGCCTACACGTTTGGACCGGCCCCACGCGAGCTCGCCTCGCTCGCCTCCAAGGACGTCGTCGGGCCGTGGCACTCTAATGACAACCGCACCCGCACGTATCCCTCGCCCACGCGGCCTGCAGTAGAGTCATACGTGACAACCAAGGATGGAGTCTCACTCCCGTACCGCCTCGAGGGCAGCACGGACCCCACCGCGCCTGTCATTGTCCTGAGCAACTCCATCCTGGTCGACTGGAGCATCTGGGATGGTTTTGTTGATACCTTCCTGTCCAACCCGAAAAACCAAAACTACCGGATCCTACGCTACCTGACGCGCGGCCGCCTCCGCGACTGCGGCGAGACACCCATCACCATCGACGTCCTGGCGTCGGACATCATCGCTCTGCTGGACGCGCTCCGCATCCCGCAGGCCACACTCATCGGCGTCAGCCTCGGCGGCGTAACGGTGCTGAACACGGCGCTGCTGTACCCCGCACGCGTGACGCGGTTCATCGCCTGCGACACGAACAGCTCGGCGCCGGAATCGAACCGCAAGGCGTGGACGGACCGGCACGCAATGGCCGCGAGCGAGGGGGCTGTGTTACCGGACACGCAGGAGCCTATTATTGGCGAGCAGCTGGCGGAGGCGACCACGCGGCGGTGGTTTGTGCCCGAGACCTACGAGACGCAGCCGGAGGTCGCGGCGCGGGTCAAGGACGTAGTGCGCACCAACAGCCTGGAGGGATTCCAGAAGGGCATGCAGGCGTTGTGTGCGTACGACGTCCGGGAGCGGATGGCGAGTGCGCGCGTGCCGGGTCTGTTTGTGGCGGGCGAGGGCGACGGCGTGCTGCCGCAGACGATGCAGAAGATGGCGGCCGATCTCAACGGGGGAGCGGAGTTGAAGATCATCCCCAAGGCGGGTCATCTGCCGATGGTGGAGCAGCCGCAGGCTTTTACAGAGGTGGTCAATGGTTTCTTGCATCTGTAGCTTGCATATTATGTCTATAGCATGCTATGGGTAGAATTAAATAATGACCAATGAACTTCATCATACATTACTATACATGTTCTCTTACGCTGGCCGACTTGGCCTCGGAGGTCTGCGTCACCTCAAAGGTGCGGTGGATGCCCCCTCCCATATCTCCGCCGTCGGCATCGGAATTCAGCCGCTCCTCACTGCTGTTCTCATTTGACCCTCTCCACGGACTATCCGGCGCATGGACGGTCGTCACGGTGGTGGCCAGTTTATCCGGACGAAAGCGACCGCCGCCATCAGTATCTAACGATCCCAGCGGCACGGGGCGATCACGACTGGGGCCGAGGCGGCGCGACGAGGACTGGCCGGGCATCGGCGACATGTAGTCGTCGGTGGTGCTGGTGCCGCGGATCATGCGCAGCAGGGGGCGCAGGGTCGCCAGACTACCGGCGGAGATACCCAGGCCGACCTCGATGTTGGACCACAGCGCGATATCAACGGTGGCGTCTGGTCAGCGTTAGCAGTGCTAGTGGATCGCAGGATGAGAACGAACTTACAGAGGAAGTCGGGATCCGCAAAGGTGCTGACCCAGGGGATACGGATGATGACGGCGGAGGAGGCACTACACCATTGTCAGTTTGCTTGTCGCGTGAGGTCACCTGGGAGTGGATGGACATACATGCAAGCCATGCTCAGGATACCAATAACCGCAATCTTCGTCTGCCGACGCATATGCAGCTTGCGCACCATGAAGATGGGAAGAATGCCCACGGTGAAATCGCACAGGGCGGCAAAGGCGCTGTAGACGTAGGTCATGGCGATGACGATGTGGATGCTGATGCAGGAGCCCTGGATGGAGGGGTCCAGCGCGGTGCGGGTCCAGAAGTACTCGATGGGCCTACACTGCAGCAGCATGATGAGCATAAAGGCCGTGCCGGCGATGGCTGTGAGGGCGATGACACAGTAGAGAATCCAGATGTGGAGGCGTTTGACGGTGATGCGGCGCAAGAAGATGCAGACCGAGACCTTGCAGCCGACCGAGGCCCAGCAGTAGGCGATTTCGCAGAGCCACCAGTACTTCATTATGATCAGTTGTGTCCATTCAAGAAACGAGCGAAGAAAATACCTCCATGGCTGTGACGCGCTGATGGGCTGTGAGGTCAATGAATCTCCTGCCGGTGCCGTAGAGGGCTCCCCCGATCATACACCCGCAGAACATCATATACCATAACTAAGGGTCAGGATCAGGGTCAGTTCAGCATTCCGAGTGAGGTAAAAGACAGAGGCATACCATCGCAATGACCATGGCGCCATCATCCCAGCCAAACGCCTTGACAAGAAATAATCGCACATAGCATCGCAGAATCACGGTTACCGAGGCTATGGCCAGGAAGACGGCCGCAACGACCTTGACCTGGAGACTACGGTCATCTTTGCTCGTAGTGCTCATGCTGGCTTAAGCATATTGATATTATTGCAGTAAATGAACGAGTGGAGGGGGAAATCATTTCTTCATATATACTGAGACAGGAACTACTCCCACTCAGTCCCACATCAGCACCACCAGCACCACCACCGAGGCAACAGAAAAGGAGAATTGCCCTCCTATTCTGGAACTTTTAACCTCGATTGGGCAATCTAGCGTCCCAGGAGAGTTTTGGCAGTTTTGGCACTTTCCCCGTTGGCACTTGGCAGTTAGCTTACTTTCTTCAGCCGTAGTCCGTTTTTGTTAGTCTGCTCCGTGCAGAGCCCGAGAAAAGAGTAGTGATGGACATTGCCACTTGCCATTTTCATTGCTTTGCAAGTCCTAGACTAGCCAGTACACGACTGCCTAGACTGTGGAGTACGGAGAGAGCCTATAAAACAACCCAAAATGTCGGTAGAGGTTTCCGTTTAAAGCCTGCTCAAGAGCACAGTCGTAAGTTCGTACCTGGAGACGACTCCATACGAGTCAAGGCMTGAGCGGGCAGTTGTGCTCCATAAGAGTTTTCTTGGCTTCTAGAATCGACAGGGGTAATCAATTAAGAGTGGGATTATGCACGTCAATCCGAATAATAGAATCTGCTGAGAAGGCATTAATCAGCCTATCCAGCATGACCGTGGCATAAAATAACCATATGGTATTATGCTTTCCCGCCAAAGTCAAACACCGAGTGCATTGACACGTTAGCGTGGTTGTGGCTGTTTCAATGACCAACAGGCCTGTTAGTCGATATTGCTATTGGAGTAAAATTCTTTCAACTACAACCGCTTGTATAAGATCATCCTCTATTACCAATTCTCACAGTGCAGTGTTTCTGGGCCTCTACAGACCGAGAATCATCCGCGTTGTGGGAAAGCATCTCCTCCCTTGGCAAAGACGGGGCTCACCGTGCCCCAACACTAAGTACTAAACACTCCTAAATGCTCCACTCTGTCTCACTTTTCTCCCACCAGAGTCTCGACCGAGTCATGCACATTATCATTGCAGGATAATTTCCCAATTCCCAAGTCTCTGCATCCCCGTAATGTGGATGTACCGAGTACCACTAGAGTGGTCCTGCAGAAGCCATTTTATTCTGTGCATCACTCCATGCATACAAGCAATCGGAGCATATCGATCCTTCACTTCCATCGTTATCAACTTTATCATTTTTATTATCCTGCTTGTTCCTCATTATCTTCACCAGAAATACTCCGTACTGTCGTGTCCATTTTAGCGGGACCAGCCACTTTGCTGATCATCATTACCTTGACCGTTGGCCTGCGAATCTTTCCGGCCATGTCTTTAATAGGCTAGTGGTCACAATAGATTTGTGATCATCCCTCAAGTCGCCGAACAACTAGACCATCCCCTGGTTGATTCCGAATCTTTTTCTGTTCATATCCTGGGGATAAACTGATTCAGGGGTAGATCAGTCCTGCTCTTGGTGGAGTCGAACTGTCGAACTCGTACCCATGTGGCTCGGACTCATCAGATATCACTCCAGAAAGTCTATTCTGGATAAAATTGAGCCTATTTACACATCGAATACTATTCCTGCTTGATTCCATGGGTACAGCCTCGTATTCAACCCTCTTGCTCCTTCGTGCGCTTCCTCTTACCCATTTAGGCTTGATATAGGGTGAAAGTTCTAGGCTACTATTATTATGATTGATCTGCAATGATCCCTGTCCAGACCATCTTGATCGTCGTCTTGACATAGCCAATCACTTGAACTTCTGGTTGTTCTATCGGTGACCATGCAGCGGTGTGAGCTGAATAGAGATGGATTACAATCAGCTTGGAATTACATCGCTGAAGTGAACTGGTGAAATAGTCTGTAAACATTGGAATGTCTTTCTGCATCCACTTAAGAGAAGACATCGGGAACACCTGGACAACGAGAGTGGCCCCCGGTGTCGTGATGCTGGCACAACCATGACGTCGTCGGTCTACTATCTCCATCGACCTCATGTCGATACTGAAGCAACGACAAGATAACAGCTCAGAATGGGCAGATTAAGCCCGAACCGCTGCTTCTCCCTTGGATACAGATTTTCATCCCCTCATCGACGAGTATCACTCTATGCCAATGGTATGATCCCCTCGACCTACCGCATCTCAGGACATCCCTGACCGACCTAGGTAAACCAGCGACCGAAGAGGATCTGTTTGGGTACAACAAAGGCCGCTTCCTCGTCAATGAAGGATACGAGCTGGCGAAACGGTACTCGCCCTTTGACATCCGCGAACTCTGCCGTACGGTCTCCGCGCTGCCTCGCGTGGCTGGCTCGCCCATTACCCGGATCGAGAAGAAGGAGGGCGGGTATAACAAGGCGCTGATGATGACTGCGGAGAACGGGACCGAGATCCTGGCAAAGATCCCGTGTCGGAATATCGTGCCTCCATGGTACGGAACCGCGTCCGAGGTGGCTGTCTTGGAGTTCGGTAGGTTCTTCGTCTCGGTGGCCTGGGGATGCTAAGTGAGCAGTCAAAGCGCACTCGACCACGCCTGTGTCGGACGTCCTCGCCTGGTGCGCGGACGACTCCAACCCCGTGCATTCGGAGTATATCGTCCTGGAGCCGAGCGTCGGCAAGCAGCTCACCAAGGTGTGGGACAACCTAGCTGAGCACGACCGCGTGAAATTGATCCGCAACTTTGCCTCGCTCGGAAGCAAGCTGGCAGCCAACAAGTTCCCCGGCTACGGCGCCCTGTACCTGCGCAACGCCCTGCCCCCGGCGCTGAGACAACCCGGCCGCACTATCGACGTGGACGAGACATACTGTCTGGGGCCCATGTACCACGGCTCCTGGCCGGGGGGATTCGCAGCGGATCCTGATGACTATGCAAAGTACTCAGGGCCATGTACGTCCTACCTCTGTATCTGCTGTGTTGAATAGCATGCTGAGAGCCCGACAGGGAGGACCCTCGCCCAACTGGGCCACGATCTCGTCCACCAAGGCATCTGCCAGGTACGAAACTACAAGACCTCGTACGCTGGCCGCGGCCCGCACTACGGCACGCCCGAGGAGCACCTCCGCGTCCTCGAGACAGTCCTCCAGGTGATGCCCATTCTCACGGAAGCCGTCCCCATCCGCCGCCACACCGAGCCAATCCTCAGCCACCCAGACTTCCACCCAGGCAACATCTTCGTCTCCGCCGACGACCCCACCGTCATCGTGGGCGTCATCGACTGGCAATTCACCTGCATTCTCCCGCGCTTCACCCAGGTCCGCTGGCCGCTGTTCCTCGCCCCGCCCGAAGGCTACCAACCAGGCACCCCCAACCCGGAACTCCCCCCGACCGACGACGACGACACGCAACAAGCGCAGGACGAGGCACTACGCGCCAAATGCTACGAGGCTGCGCTCCTCAAGTCCCATCTGGAATCGTACCTCGCTCTCACGGAGCCAGACGTCGCCATCCGCCGCCTCTTCATTTCCTGCCCCTTCACCTACCGCGACGGCATCCTCCCGGTGCGCGACTGTCTGCTCAAGCTCTCGCAGCACTGGGCGCAACTGCAGGTTAGTCAGGAGTGTCCGTACCGGTTCACCGCGGCAGAGGTGGCGGCGCACGAGCACCAGATGGCCGAGTACGAGGGCTGGCTGAAGCTGCGGGAGCATACGCACCAGCTTCTGCGGTCTAATGATGGCGGGTGGGTGCCGTCTGGAGTGGACTTTGAGGAGATCCAGGCGAGGCATGACAAGTTGTACCGCCGGTTTGTGGAGAGCAAGATGGAGCGCATGTCGGAGGAGGATGCCAAGAGGCAGTGGTTTTTTCGCGATAGGGGGTAGCCTCGTGTCATTTTAAGCAGCGAGCGCTTTGCTCTAAGCATGAATCTAGATGAATGTTGATGATATAGGCGACTGAAATAGATTGTCAATTTCGTCTACTCCGCCTTAGCCCACTGCTTGCTCAGTTCCCACAGCCTCTCCTCCTTTTCCTTGTCAAACGTCCAACTACCATATCCATACTCGGCAGCATCTCCATCAGGAGGACAAGGATGCACAGCAACAGACGCCCCCTCCAGATACAACCCACCCCGGCCCTCCAATTCACTAGAGGTCGCCCCATAAACGGAAGTCGCACACGCCTGCCCCATGCTAGACAGATACTTGCGCATCTTCTCATCATTCAGAAACGCATCCATCTCCGCCCGCGAATGCTTCTGCAGATTGGGACTGACAAACGCACCAGGATGCACACTATACCCATGCAGACCCTGCGCCCCATACAACCGCTCAATCTGGTTCGTCATATAAATATTCGCCGTCTTGCTAGACCCATACGCCAACCAGCCATTATAATTCCCCTCGAAATTGATATTATCCAGCTGAACAGGCCCATAGCGATGCCCCGCCGAGGAGACGTTCACAACGCGCGAGTGGAACGTCGGGCTCGAACTCTGCAGCAAAAGATCCTTCAGATACCAGAATAGCAGAAAATGCGAGAGATGGTTCGTCCCAAACTGCAGCTCGAAGCCGTCCTTCGTGCGCCCCTCGGGCGTATTCATCACTGCCGCGTTGTTGATCATCACGTTGAGTTTGCTGCTGCGCTGGCGGAAGGTGTCTGCGCAGGCGCGTACGCTGGCTAAATCGGTCTGATCCATGTATAGTAGATGCACGCGACCGGTATCCAGGAGAGGGCCCAGCGCCTCTTTGGCTTTTTCGATGTTCCGGGCCGTCCCGTAGATGGTTGCCCTCGTTAGGGCCAGGACCCGGACGGTTTCGACTCCGAGGCCGGAGGAAACGCCTGTGATTAGAATGACTTTGTCGGCCCAGGCGTTGACGATGTTTTCGTCTTGGATGATCTGTTCGCCTGTAACGCGGGAGTCACCGGGGCCGTTTAGTACCTCCCATCTGTTTCTGTCGGCGTAGCGGCCGGAGAGTTGGAATGGGTCGCGTGAGGTGAGTGTCATTTTGTGTTGGTTTTGAGCGTGGTGATGGAACTATTGCTTCTGAGTTACTGATAGGAGATAGATGAGAGAGGCTTCATTGGGTGGTATCCAGTTATATATGTGGTCGCAACGTGTTTGTCTTAAAGCCGTCTAAGATGGGGATATCGGAGATAAGCTACACTGTCGTATTCTATAGCCTCGTTCTACCCTCTTCTAGACTAGAGAAGCCAGGCACGTATTTCCGAAACTGAATGTACGGCCCATCTTTCAAACTCGTAAACGCCCAAGACGTCTGAAACTGCCCCTTAAACACTCCCTTCCCCTCACCAACTTCCGAACATCTCGTCTCTGCCTTGCGAAAATCATACTGCGAAATCACAGCCGCCATCGCCAACGAAATCTCAGCAATAGCTAATCCCTTCCCGACACAATTCCTCGGTCCCACTGAGAACGAAGCCAACGCACTCTTAGCCACATTAACGGCTTCGTCGCCGCTCTCTTCAGCAATCCAGCGTTCTGGTTGGAACACGAACGGGTCGGGATAGTACTTCTCGTTATGGTTAAGAGACCATATCCCCGTAGCGGCTTCACAGCCTGCGGGTATGTGCATGTTCATTTCTGGAATTGAGAGGCCGCCGTCCAGCACTTCGCGCCAAAGAGCGCCGCTGACCGCCGGGCAGAGACGGATTGCTTCGAAGATGCACGCGCGGAGGTAGACACAGGAGTTGAGTTGGGGGCCCTGTGCTACCTCTGCCGGGTTGCTGAAGACAGCTCGGACTTCTTTTGTAACGCGGCCGTAGGCTGTGGGATTACGGGAGAGGTAGAAGAAGAGGGCGGCCATCGCGGTGGAGGAGGTATCGGAGCCTATATCGCACAGCAACAATTGTTAGTCTAGCTTACTGGATGAGGACGAAGGAATCATGACAAGGGGCTGTGTTTGTTTACCCGCAATAATCAAGAGATTACTATCAACCCATAGCTGTGCGTTCGGCAGACCCTCTCCGGTTTCCGGATCTCTGGCTGTGAGTAAGTTGCCCAGAACGTCGTTGAGCTCTTCCTTTTGCCGTAGTTGTCGCTCTTGCATGATTTCTTTTGCTTTCACTGAGAACTGCATGGCTCTTTGGCGTGCCTCAGGAAAGAAAACGTGGTTGAGTCTCATCGTCTCAAGTTCAGGGAGCTGCAGAAGGAATCCGAAGCGCTGCATCTGACCTATAACCCCTTGGATGATCCAGTGATTTGCACTGTTGGTGAGTAGATTATAGGACGTGCTGAAGACGAGCTCAGACATTACGTCAAAGGTGAAGTAGTCGCCTGGATAGTCGGTCAGTTTGCTGCAGCGGCAAGATTTCTCGGAGAGGATATAGAAACCTACACCAGTGGCTCATATTCTTGGGAACACTCCATCCATCACCAGCAGGCTCTTCAGTCTTGTGGAAACGATCGGTTTGCTCGCCAAGGGAGCTAGCAAACAAGGACACAAGGCTCCTTAGCTTGTTGTCCATCCGTCGGATATGAGTGTCAGATAATCCCTGATTCATTAGGCGACGGTAGAACCTGTGTCTTGCGTCGTCAAGTGTGCATAGGGTGGCGTGGACTTTCGGAATGAATGTCACCCGTTCATAGCCCTTGGATTTATGGACGTTGGCACCGTGGCCGTAGATTGCTATCCAGGTTCCTAAGTTAGCCGCATGTATTGCCAACACTCTATTGAATGAGAGGGGGCACCTTTTAGTCCAGACTCCGAGTCAATAACAATCCGGTTAGGCCCGTATCGCACAACGTCCCCTATGAATCGTGTGTTTGCTTAGCCCGTGGAGTATGAAGTCGGAATGTGGTGACTCTACCGTATTTCTGGTGACACCTCCATATATCCGTATGTAGATCTCCAACATATGCATGGTACAAGGCATACCAGCTCGTCAGTTTAGCCAGTAAAGGCCCTGGATATTTGGCATATGGATGGAAGAACAATCGGTAAACTGAAAGTCCGATCTGATAAGGGTCATGAGCACATTCGCATCGAACATCGTGTCCGCGATGGCGTGTGACTTACGAGAAACAATGAAGCCAGGATAGCAACAGTCGTCAGGAGCCGACATGAGTAAACCGCCAAGCTCCCAATGAGGGTATACATTTCAAGGGCCATCTTCACTGGGAGGAGTGCCGACAATTCTCCCTGCAAATTGAAGAGGAATGAGGACTTCCAGCACATATATACCAATTCATGGGCGAGGGATGCATTATGTGTCAAGTTCCACACACATATATCAATTAATAATCAGCTATCAACCTCGATTTCTCATCAGCTGAGGCAAATCAGCTAGCTTAGCTACGTGATATTAGTGAAGCAGTGGCAAATTTCCGCATGGTATGAGGTTTATCTAGAAAGATAGAGCATAGCCACGGTATCTCCATGGAATTACAGCTGGAGATCCGCTGAACTTTAATCCCTCTGAAGAGCCCAAGAGTGTAATGCGAGTGATGATTGACAGGCATGGGATAATGACTGGCCAGGCTCTTATTAACTTTCTGCGGTGTCCCGAGCAAGCCATTGGCACAGAAGAAGGTGTGGCTTATGCTATGTGAGCGTTTTGCGGGCTTAGATGGCACTTTAATGTAGAACTAGACTGAGTTTTGACGCCACTTGATATTCTTCACTATAGTATGAGAACCGCCGACATTCCTTCAAAGGCCCTCGGTTATCCATTCTCATGGGATTCTTTTCTACTGAGAGCTTAATGATACAGGGATTGCGAGTGGTAAGTGTAAAACACATTATATACAAATGGCAGTGGGAGTGAGTGAAATTCTGTAACCATGTCGCCGTGAAATTCAGTGCCGGTCTGCCAGATGGTCTTGCAGAGTAGCTTGGATTGTACTGCTAGACACCGCTAGTGCCTCAATTATTCAACTCCCCCACTGAACCAGTTCCTGTTGGGAACTCCAGAGGCTATCTTTTTGGATCACCGATTTGCCTCTTCGTTCGGGCTGGATTTCAGATTACTCAACATTCAGAGGCAAGAATGAATAGTAATCAGCAAGACAGGTTGCTGTGGATAACAGGTCGATCGTATGATATAGAGATTAGTGATCTCCAAAGATCCTCACAAATGAGAGTGAGGTGAATGAGAACAAAATATCTTGGCTGAGACTCGGGATCACACATCACTTGCGGATAGCTGAAGGACTCCCTGCTCTATTTCTTGGCATCAATCAGGTAGGTAAAGCTGCTTAGTCCGCTTAACATGATTATAATCCTTTTGGCTCGGCGTCTGGATATGTTTGAATATAAATATCACGGCTGCTTCTCAAAGCTGTGCTCCTCCTTTCTACTTCATCTTCAAGCTGCCTTGATTTGATCGTCGAAACCTTGAAACATCACTTAGAACCGCAAACCGGAATTTTCGTATGTTTCTACTCTTCGAATCGTGCCGCGCTTATTGCCTAACTCTTCATACAGTCTAGACAATGTTGGCCAAAACCTTTATCTTGTCCGTCGGACTCTACGCCATGCTAGGCCTCTCCAGCCCGACCCCTGAAGTCTCGGCTGAAGTCTCCGTTGAGTCCAACGCTGTCGAAACCAACAGCACCACTCATGTCCTGAACGAACGCGCCACCGGCGTCTGGCTAGACGTCTATAAATCAGGCGCGTGCGACAACGGCTGGGAAGACCAGCCCAAGTCCGGCTGGGTGTGGGCCGGCCAATGCAAGAACTTTGACTCCTTTACCTACGGCGCCAGAGCTGGAAAGAACGACGCGGGCTGGCCATCTGCGTGCACTTTCAAGTTCTGGGAGAACGCTGATTGCCATGGCCATGCTACTGTCCATCATATTACGGATTCTATCCAGTGGGAGAACGGTAACCCGACTTACCAGTGTATTGCCACGGCGAATAAGGCATCTGGAGAGTTTTACCTGGGAAATGGGGCTGCTAGTGTGTTGATGACTTGTTAGTTGGAGCCCGTCGGAGGTTCAGACAATGAGTTGAAGGCATTCGGCAGGCTTGAATATATACGAGGCAGAAGGACATTAGGTCTGCTCGGATTTGAGGAACGGCGGATACGGGAGATAAAGGACTGTCTAGCTATTTGTTTTTACTGTCTTTTCCGTTCTTTGTGTTCTTATAAGACAATAGCACAGTCGTTACGGTTTTTGTAGATTTGGTGCCTGAGAATAATGCTTGATTTACTTGATACCTAGCGCAACTTAAGGTTAAATATCTAGCTGAGTCTTGTGTTATATTGTCAAAGAGAGTATGCTGAGAAAAGCACTATACAAGGAGAAAAGCTTGCCATGGGAAGCCCTTTTTGGTCCAGTGCTATAGTTGCACCATAAATATGATCAGTATACCTCACAGCTTGATGAAAAGCTATAATATATGGGTAAAGGAAACTTATAAAGATCCCAGATCCATAGTGAAATGTTAAGCTAGTGTGAAAGGAAGAATAACTACAAAGTGATCCAGGCATCCTTAAAGAGAAAACCACCGAGAAACTCCTAAGTTTTACTGTCTAAATAAGAAGAAGCCTTTATCCCACAAGTTATATATGCTCATATATGGTCTTCATAAGCTTGCTCTCTCAGGAAGGATAACCTGAGAGCATATACATGAGTTCCATACAAAGATCTTCTGAGAGACCTTTATTTAAACATCTAGAGGGGTTTCCAGAATATATTTATGAGGTCATTGAGCCGACTCGGACTTGACMCCGGGGTTGAAAACCTTGTGGCAGCTGCGATTGCAGCTTCATATCGCGACTGGCAAGTGCGAGACCGTTGATTTGGGGCAGGTTGCGCGCGGCCATCGGCGTGCCTACGAGGCGTCTCAGACTAGCGACTCCGGGCCAATGGCCACTGACCGTTGTTCTTAGTTATAGGACTCCAAGCCAGGAGGAACTGGGTTTGTGCACTTGGCAGAACAGAGCCTGTGCACAAGATGGTGCTTCCTTACAGTTTTCGCCTCATTCATTTATGTTCCTAGGGTAAATATTTAAGCTGATGGTAACTAGAACTATTGCATTAGTGGTTACTCTATGTTGCATTAAAAAGCCTCACAAGCCTACATTCATAGTACTATTCAGCCAGGAAAGGTAGAAAAAGATGTGAAGCAGCGCTGATTTAACTTTAAGGAGGCGCAATGCCTACTACGAACAATAAAGCAGATCGCTGTCAGGAGTAGCTGTATCAGATAACTAACCCAGAAACGGGGAAATTAACTGTAAACAGGGATACGCGGATTTGCTGTACGCGGTTAGCCTTATCTGGGAAGTCCAAAACAAAGGAACAACATGAAAAGTGCCAGTCAGAATCCTCACAGAATTTGAACATCCTCCTCGTTTCCAACACTTATCATGCTGATATTACGATCTCAATCCCTACGTCACCCAGAAGTCAACTGAGAACACCCAGAAACCTACCTAAATAAACTAAAATTTCAACACCAAACAACGCGCTAACTCCCTCGTCTCCACATCTCATTCAAAATGGCCAAGGAAAAACCATCGTCGTCAAAGACGCGCCCCACTCGTACCAGCAAGGAAGATATCCTTATGAGCATCAAGCCGGAGCATATGAGCAACATTGCTGCAGGCAGGAAGAATCACGAGTACCGCGGCTATCTCCTCCCTTCTACCGTCCGACGCCTTTGGCTCTACACAACAGCGCCCATCTCGCGAATTGAGTATGTTGCGCGCATCTCGCGCGGCAAAACGCGCGGTGAAGTTGCCGAAGACGGTGGAATCGGCAATGAGGACTTTAATGCAGGGAGAAAAGTCTCAAAATACGCGTACGAAATTCTGGAACTATGGAAATTACGCGAGCCGATCAGTCTCGCGTCGGCTATATCCAGTGGCTTCCTGAAGGGTCCTCCGCAGAAGTACTGCTGGGCCCCTGTTGCGCTGCTCGCGAATTATTCTCTTCCGAGACAGGATCATTTGTTTTGTAGAGAAGTTCAAGAAAACCCTCATGAAGGGAGAGATAGGTCTGGACCGGATATGTCTGGGGATACGCCGGGTATAGTTGGAAGAGGTAAAATATCTGATTTCTTCACGCCTTTGGGTTCGGATACTCAGTAGGGAGGCGGAAAATCTAGGTCCTGTTGGCTTGTATCTTGAGCATTAATCAGTGTTTCTGGCGTTGGGATTTTGGGATACTTACATATGGGTATTGTTGAACTAATTTGGGTGGCGAAGTAGGCGCATTCCCCTTGATATCAGCTGCATATCTATGTAATCGACAGTGTAGTTCCGGAAGAGCTTGTACGGCTTGTCAACCCAGTCTTGCGCTTCCTCAAAAAGGGCCTCAATTCCTCCCTCGATCTCCAGAAATGAGTCAGCATCCAGCAAGTACTGACGGCCGGCATCGATTAAGTATTTGTATCCATTTTCTCGGATATACAGGCTTTTCGACAATTTGGCTCCGGACCAATCGAGTATCAAAGGAGTATAGAAGATGACTGGAGCATTTTCAGGATGCTCCAGCAGCCTCCAAGTCAGCTGCTCCTGGTAGAAACCCGAGTAGTCAGATCCAGTACACATGATCCATGAGGTGTCCGTATCAACGCTGCAGAGGAGAATCCTTATCAGGTTGCGGAGTGGTGTGTTGAACTCGATCCGCTCGAGTTCGTGAGGTGATGTCAGGTCTATATGGTGCTCTCCGTGATCAGGACACACGAAAGTGATTCGACCGTCAGCATGATACTGATTGTTGATGCCGTGCTTGTCTGCTAGTCCGCAATCTTTGTGTGGGCATGGCGCGCGAATAGCCAACTTGCCTGTCTCCGGGGACATATGGGGTCCAAGAATCCTGTAACGCTCGACGAGACTCTGGAGGATGTTGGGAAAGTCAGGATTTGAACGCCAGAAACTCTGCGTATCAAACTCATACGATACCCCAGAAAGTTCAGACAAGCGACTTAGGACTTTGGCGAATGCCTTTTGATTGGTTTGAAAGCCCCCTGTCTGCTTGAGGCTTTTCTGATACTTCACGTCGTTAATGAGGAACTCCTGCCCCGGAGTCGGTGCGCTGTCCACGAAAATGAACTTAACCCTAACGTTGCGATCGAACCCTCTCTGTAAGGCAGCCGCGAGCGCAAAACAGGTAGCAAACGTGGTTATATTACCCACATGCGGGCTGCAGTTCGGCTGTGACCCGACATGGAAAGTCACTACCGGTTGAAGGCATCGGCTATTCAGATACCTGAGGAGGTTCTCCTTAAAATAATATGACCCACCTCCCAGCGGATGGTGGGCAACTCTGTCATGCGGTATCATAGTGGGGGAAGAAGAGCAGAGCGTACCGTAAATGAGCGGGAACGCAAAGGATCAGGGTAATTGTCCTACGCCGGAACTATCAGCTAAAGGACGCAAGCTTAATATCTTGGTTGTCTGTGACTGAAACGCCATCAGCCTCATGGGAGGTAGTTGGCCCAATGACTAATAGGACTTCTTAGAGGATTTGGAAATCTAGCGGCTAATGTCAAACTTTTATTCGCCTGTATGCAGTGCTGGCACACTGTGATGCATTGGCTAGCTGAGCGTCAAACATGGGTCTGATAGACCATGTCGACTATTGAGAGATGGTAGTCAAGCCATGTAGACCAAGAGTAGTTGGCTTATTGCTGGTCATACGCAGAGATGTGTTTGCAGAAGACATTTGGAGCAGCCGTACCCATGGGCGTAATACATCCATTTCAGAGCCTGAGTCAGGTATGGAGAGGCTTTACATGCTTAATATGCATAATTCTTTTACTGCAATTGCAAGTGCCCTAGTTCAGCCATTATAGGTTACTGGTAGCATCTAGACACTGTTTGCTAATACCCTTGCACAAGACACGACACTCTCTCTAAATGTATTGTTTTACCATACTACAAAGAAAGAACCAATGACTGCATTCACTCTGACTCTACCATCACTGCCGAACTTCTCTTACAACCCTTTGGGCATGAACCAATGCATCTTGGATTACACGCACCCTCCGCTTTAACTCTTCTGTGTGCTGGGGGTCCTGCCCAGCCTCAGATGTCTGTCCCTCTACTGTGAGAGAAGCTCGCAAATCCCTAGTAATATTCGCGATCTCTTCCCGAAGCTTTTGATCGAGCTGATCAAAAGTCCTCTCAATAAGCTCACGATAGTCACCAGTCAGTGCGTTGGAGAACTGTAAAAATAAAGCAGAGGATGAAAGATGTCGGTTCATGGTTTGCTTGCGTCTGGCATCGCTGCCCGTTCCTAGAGTTCGCAGTGTGTGGTTAGTTCGAGAGAACATGAGAAACTAGAATCTCGATATCATACCATATTGCTCCCTACAGGCGTTATACACCGGACGCATGACGCCTGCAATATAGGAGCTAGCGTGGCCGCCTATTGCGTCGGACTTGATTTTCCTGATCGTAGGTCAGTCATTCTCCGAGTTAGATAGAAGCCGTGGGTAAGATACTCAGTAGCATAAATTAGGTCATCCAAGGAGCTATGGATGGCGTCTAGTATACATCTTTGCCGCGTTTTAATATTCAAGCGCAAATTTCCCAGACTGTCCGGTGCTATGTCATGGTGTTCTAACGAGCGTAGTCAGCCAAACAAAACTCGGGACTGTCGCCTTTCTTGAGGCTAGTTGAAACGTGGAACTCCTACCTTCAATCAAGTCACAAACGTGCTGAAAAATACTAGACAGTTCCTCGTCAAGGTCATCTCTCTGCTCTTCAAGCCAACCAAGCATGGTATCCCATCTGGTGGAGAGTTGATCACTTCCATGACCGAGGATTTCTTCGTTCCAGCAGCGATAGTCTTGCTTCGCCGTTTGGTGCGTCCCATAGTTGCGACACCAAGCGGTGTACGTCGAATGGTGCCACTGGCAGATCCCATCAGTACAAAATTTATGCTATTTCATTCGTCTTCTTTGACTTACGGTTGCCCACTCCCTGCTCGCGCCGACTGCATCATCTCTCCAAGTGTTCCGAGAGTTGCCTGCGCCGGGGTTATTATGAAACCTCTCGGAAAACTAAAGGAAGGTTAGATACGGACGTATAGTTTGTACAATCAAATCTCTAAACTGTCTCTCTAGGCTGTTCTGCGCAAGGCGGACTCCCGATCGAGGAGAGACAATGCTCTAAAAGGCGTCAGCAATCATGCTCTCTTGACCATCACTTCAAAGCTACCAAAGCAGTTCCAAAGCTCGACAGGATAAAATAAGGAACCGGCTGCGCCAGAAGACATTCACCGTACCCGTTGGAGAGTCTGTTCGGCTTCTTTCAAGGCATCGCGCAGGACTTCAGCCCGGCTTGCAGTAACGGAATCAGAACCCGCTAATGCCCACTGAGTTAGAGAACCTAGAAGCGCGGGTACTTGATTTTGCAGAAATGATTCCGTTGCACGAAGCTGCGCATCTGCCGGAACGGACTGACAATAGCGACGAAGCTCCGTGATGCCACTGAGCTCGAGGTATCCATTGGCTTGCTCATGATCGTTTGCACGATGGTCCGCGTAGAGCTTGTTGCTCACGCAAAATATTCGGGCTTGGTTTTTCCAGGCACGCGATAAAGCCTCGGTTACGCGCCTATTCCGTCTTAAAATGAGGAACCGCTTCAGTCTAACCAGCATTCGGTCAGCACAAATATTCAACCCGTGCAACAAGCAAGGGATCGACCTACTCGAACTCCAGCGCCTCTTTCTCATCGCTTTGGTATGCCACCGTTATGATGTTGTCCCAACCGCAATAGATCAGGCTAACTTACCGAAGGGTAGTTTCCTCTGCAGCGAGATTTTGATTTCTACTTCCGCTAGCTTGTCGTCGACGGGACCGCGTATGCCTGATTCTTTTATCGAGGGTCTGAATTCGGTTGTCGAGATCGAGGATGCGTCTGGCGTCACCCGCAGAGGATGTCCGTGCCGTCTCTTTAGCATCCACATCCTGGAATTGGCCCGTTAGTTTTTGTCCAATTAGGTTGGGGAGGGGAAGCCTGCCTCTGAACGAGTACAAACGATCCGTATCGGTTGACCTTGTGCACATCGGCGAATGATATCGCCAATCGACTGGTCCGTCGTACAACGAATGATGGTACTAACAATGAATACCTCGTCGCAACTGTGACGAAGATACCTTTCTGTTGCTCGTTCTCGAGCATAGTTCAGATCCCGAAAGCCTGAACATACATCAATCACTCAATGTAAAATGATACAGAGCAGAAATGCCTTACCAGGGAGGTCAGCCAGGACTAAACCAGTGCGCAGAACAGGCGATCGCAAATAGACCCTAGTCGCCGTTAGACACATAAAAGCCCTTAGCAAACTGGATTCTCTCTCAAACCTGATCAACTTGACAAAAGGCCATATAGCCGGCCTATCACCTTCCCTCGAATCAGCCATAAGATTATCCAGCTGCTCCATACACCCATCGGCATGGCGAGCCACAACGGTATACCGAAGACTGTCGCGTCCACCGGGACGGTGGTCTAGACCAGCCATTGCCCACTCTTGCAATGTGGTCACAATCGACTCTACCGCATCTTCTCCGTCCCTAGAAAGGAAGTCAAGGTCAAGTCCGGGCTGGTTAGGGAAAAGTGAGAGCAATGTGTCCCAGGCTCTCTTGGCAGCAGCCTTTATGTTCTCTTGTTCTCTTGCGTCAACAACTTCCCGATAGGCATCCGTGTAATATTTCCTGACGTTTGAGAGGAGCTCCTCAAGAAGCTCTCGAATCTCGGCATTATCCATGAAATCAGCTTCGACGGTATAATTTTGCGGATGCTCCTCGTTCACACTTCGAAACTCTGTAACGACGGTGGTGCACGCAGCTCCGTCTCCGCTCTGGGGCATTGCAATCAGTAACCTGAGATCATTCACCGTCCGAAAAGTCCAGATTTTGACTTACCGACCGAGCCAGACCCTCTTGATCAAGGATAGAATTGATGAGACTACTCTTTCCTGTCAGTTTTATTAGCCTTTCATCTGCTCGCACTCCGAGCCCTGAAAGCTTACCCATTCCCGAGTCGCCAATAAATCCAACAGTCCGCGTGGCGGGATATGCGAACCCGCTCGCTTCGAGCGTCTGTTTATACAATTCATGAAAGGCGGACGTGGGGTCTTGCGCCAGCTCGCGCCTACTCATAACTTGCGCCAGGTCTGCGAGCTGGCCTCTCACGTTCCGCAGGGCAGTCTGGAGCCGAATGTCGTAGATAGGCACCTGGGGAAGTTCCTCCTGGCGGATATTGTAGAGATAATCGTCGTTGACATCATCGTCATCACTGTTATTGTCAGGCAGTGAGACCTCGGCAGATTCAGAATCGTTATCATGGTCTGAATCGCTGAGTCCCGGATCCCCTGAGTCCGCTAAGTTCAGGTTCTGCAAGTGAGCGTTTACAACGCCCAGTGGAGACACTGGCGTCTGTGGTAGCCGTTGGGTCGGCTCTGTGGAAGGAGCAACCCCTGGACTAGGAGTGGCATTGTAGAGGTCACGGTAGGTTGTATGATGAGCGTTTGGGGTCAGCCGGGACTCTCTTGGGCCACTGCTAGGGTTAGTCTCAGAGGCATGATTTTGATGTCTCATGGTTTCGCTCAGGCGCAAGTTCTGGAAGAGGGACTGAGTGTTTGGTGTGAGGGAGCGTTGTTCGACTTGGGGATCAAGCGAGCCATCTACGGAGGATACCGGGGTCAATCTACCCGTAGATGAGGGGCTGCAGGAGAAGGTGAACTCGGCCGAGGGTAGAGCATGGTCTTGAAGAGGGTTGGATGAGGCCCTGGCGCTCCTTAAGGGAGTTCTGGGCCCATCCGGGGAGTCGACGTTAGCAGCGTTGTCGCGCATGATAGTCCCTTCAGTAGGTATATACTCTTGACATTAGAACTTAAAATCTGACTGCGGGCCGATCCTTTTATGGGGAAATTATCTGGACAGACTAGGCTGACTTGGGTGGGGGGCGCTATACAGCGCCAGCATTTCAGTGGTGAACGATGCTGCAGGTTGCCTGCGCCGCAAAAAGAAATTCGGAGGCAGTCCGCCTCGGCAGATTGCGCCATCGTATATACAACGGCTATCTAATTTAAGTAATTCTGCTAAGGATTGCCAGGTATGGAAGCCAAATCTGTGAAAAGAGCCCCCTGGCTGAAACAGCAATAGCATTCCACAACAGCGGCCTGGCCGAAACAGCATTCCACAGCCCCCACACATATGACTCTCGTGCAGTTGAGTTATGCTGTTCCATCCACGTCCTGCATAGGGGCGAAAATGCGGCATTGAACCGCCTATGTCAGGCAGACTTGTGTCCTCAATGGCCGTATTCTGGTACGGCGTCACGCCGCTAAAGTGGAGTGTCGCTATTGCGGCGTCTCGTAGGAATTGCACCAGGGCTGACGGCCCTACGTTCGTCCGGGTTGAGTCATCTGCCCTAGCAGATAGCCCACGTCTTTCGCTCTCTTAGCTAGTTCTGGGTAGCCAATATTGCGGTATCATTCCAGTTCAGCCTCCGAGAGATAGTGTGCCCGACTTTTCCCTCGAAGATGAAATTGTAGACCTGGGATCTGGAATACGTACAATGTTCCGAAGAACCKGCGAACGTTGCGTATTGCGAGACTATGAATAGGGTATCCTTCATGTTGTATATCGTAGGTGGTTTATTGTGATATCTAATTCTAACTCATGATATATACGGTTCGTGAGGTGGAATGCGGTAGTGTCGCATGGTATTCCCGGAAGACAAATGAGCCCAGGAGGTGTTCCGCTAGATTCTATTTGATGCGATTATGGCAACGGCCCCATGGATTCATGGCGCCAGTTGACTCTTTTTCCTCAGCAACGGTCCATAGGCCCGGAAGACGAGAGGAATGGGGATCATAGTTGCAGCCAAGCAACCGAGTAGAGTGGCCGCCCATTGCACTCCTAATCTTTCGAACATCTGCTTTGAAAACAGCGGAAACCCGGCTGCAACGGCAGATCGGAGTATAATGTTTGCAGCGACGGTTGACGCAGCTCTGGATGAACAAAATAATCAGTTTCCAGCGACATGTTACGGACGGCGTTAGATCAAGACTGACAGAGGCAAATAGGAATCGACGAGATAGTTGAAGCAGGGGAGGAAGATGCATAGGACGCCAAAGCCAATAAGCACCCCTGCAGCAGTTGGGACCATCCAATGAATGCGAAAAGTGAAGCTCGTCCACCCAAACCTCAGTTTCGAAACTTGGGTAAGCTTGCGGTCTATTAACTGTTGCAAGATGAGGAACTCACCAGAAAATGCCAACAGTGAACACGGGAGCACCGACAATAGCTGGAGACAGGCGCCATTCAGGGACTGGAACATTGCCATTCGCAGCAAGTTTCTTCGCTTGGGACGAATTCTGCGTAATGATAAATCCGCATGCTAAGAGCTGGCCAATGATAAGGGCAATAAATGGAAGACCACCGACCCCGGGATTCATTCCATAGACGGACTCGAAGACGTATGGATAGGCTTCGAGAAGCGCATACACCAGCCCGTAGATGAACGACATATAGAGGGAAATTAACAACACAATCGGTTCTGTAATAAGGATCTTCAACGGACGCGTGAAGTATTTCTGAATCAGTTCATGAAAATCAACCTCAACCTCTTCAAGCTTTGCATGGACAGCCCAGTTGCATGTTTGTCGTCGAATCGCTGCTGCCTTCTCAACGAGCAAAAGTGGCGCATATGTTTCTTTCAGCAAGAAGATAAACAGAGTAAGACTCGCAAAGCCCATAAAAGCTGAAATATATAGTGTCCATCTCCAGCCAAGAGAACTTGATGAGACGAAGCCACCAATGAACGGTGCGCTAAAGGGGCCAACGAAAACGGTGAGAGAGTAGAGGGTAATAGCAGTGCCGCGCTGAGCATTATTATAGACATCCGATAGCACCGCCGGGACCACGGAGAGTTGACTGGCACCGAAAAGCCCGGCAAAAAAGCGGCAGATAATCAACGTCTGGATATCCTTGCAAGCTGCAGCGGAAATGGTGAAGATAGCAACGCCCAGCATGCCGATAGTCAACGGCCATCGTCGCCCTATTAACTCGGATAAAGGAGCCCAGATCAACGGACCAGATGCGAATCCTAGAATGTACAAGGTCGTGCCGAGGGTGCCAACCTCAGGGCCCACCCCAAACGCTTTGCTTGCACTACCAGCTCCTGGAGCAAAGATCGCGCTAGTGAATGAAGCTGTGAATGTACCAAGGCAGGCGATTGCTGAAACACGGAGCCTTGGATAGCACAGGATATTGTCAGAATCCATGTCACCACACCAAAGCACGCGAGGGGGCATACTTCAAAACATAATTCCAATTGTATGGATGCTCCGGATCGTCGGGCCCATCAAAGTCAACAACATAGTTTTCTGGGTCAATCAGCGGCGGTGGAAACGCTTTCCCAGCCCCGATGGTTAAAGGTCGATTGTCTTTCTTAGCACTTCCATGGCTCGAACCGATCGTCAGTTGATGATGCAGGCGATCAGTGATCGTTTGTGCAGGATTCGAGGGGCCGATGGTTTCCTTCGAGTCGCTCATCTGAGAGAGGTGAGAGCTGCTTTCGTAGAACTTTGGTGACTCCATTGTAACAGGGGGTTTAGGTCGAGTGAAAGATAAGTCTGGCTAGGGACGCTGGAGCGTGAAAGAAGGGGGAGAGGGGAAAAGAGTAACACGGAGACCATCCAGGGCTTGCTGAAATTTTATTGACTCTCTATAGAAGAGTCCTAGTTCCTCGCCCCCCATGTTCTTGTGTCTAGAGAGTAGTGAAGAGAATATTTATTACCAATTGCACAAAGTAGGGCTCCAGTATAAACGCCGCGGAACACCGCGGTTATTGCGGGGAACTGAACAGACTAAACCCCACAGGTTGTTCCAACTATCTTGTCCAAGCTAGATCATAACTATCTATCTATATGCTCCCAAGGCGCGTTGGACAGTTATAGAGTCTATAGCACTTCAGAGCCGACGGGGCGGTTGATGGTCAAGAGCCAAAGATAGTGGACTTATTTCGGCCCCAAATAGTGTGCTTGTAGTCAATGATACATTAGCATACCTTGCACTCTCAACTTCCTATCACTCACGAGCGATGTGATGTTGGAAGAATGTCCCAGGCACTGCAAGTCGTGGAACATAGACACCTCAAAGCGTCGCCTATTGGCTGCCGATAGGTGGCGGAGAACAACCAAGTATATAATTGCACACTCCGGGCCTGCTACTTAGAGGCAGAGTGGTTAACGGGGCTAAAAGACAAATTCACAGGGATAGGGTCCTTCTTCCTGAACCCTAGGTAACCTACTACAGGGTGGTTCGGTGGCGTTAGTTCGCTACTTGTTGGCACACTTCTCTATTCCGTCTGGTGTAGAGGTGGGCGATGTAATGGGCATGAAAGCCAGTATGACTGGCATCCAGCAGAAGAATCACCCAGGATTGAGTTGTTCCGCGGGAATCTTTATAAATATTATGTGACGGCAACGTAGGACGATCGGCACATACGTAGGTGCAAAGACACAAAGCTCTCGCAGCATGATTTATGGCAAATAGGTCGGCTCCGAAAGACCAGCGTCTAGAGATGGTCCAGGTGACTGGTCGTGCAAGAACTGGCTCAGATCGAACCCTTGCAAACTTGGCATGTCGGCGATCAAACCCTCCAGCCATGATACCTCTTCGAAGGCGGGGCCAATTTGACGGGAAGAAAACCTGGACTCTGGCTGCTTCTCACATTTATCCAAAAGATCCCTCAGAAATTTGGCATCCTCAGACCTTCGCCTCTGATAGAGAAAAACGATCAAACGCGCGGTATCATAGGCCTCCCTTACCGTATTGGTATCATAACTGGATGCAACAAGCTTCAGGGTCTGCATAGCCTCTGGGAGAACTTCAAGTGATGAATTGGTATCCATCTCGAGAAGAATACTAATCGTGTGGAATGGTACGTTGGCTATATGCTGCCACGGACAACAGCTCTCAACCAGAGCGCGTGCCGCTTGGAGACCTTTCTTCAGTAATGAAAGGATATCACCATGCGCAACAGTGGAGATGTTGATGTGTAATGCGCATAGGCGTCGAAGGAGACAAAGCAGAAGATTGCATTGGGCGAGGACGGAGGGAGGTTGTGTATGAGTTCTGCTCAAGACCTGTAGAAGCGATGATTCAAGGTCTTTGCCATCTTGTGCTTTTTCTGGGTCCAAGCTTGCTGTTGCTGGAAGCAAACCCAAAAGTTCGATTGTATAATCATCGGGCCTTGGTAACGGAAGGGATGGTAAGCTGCCTCGAAGTGACACCCTGGAAAGACCTAAATCATAGGAAATCCACATGTTCAAATGCTGTGCCACGCCAACTAGCCGCCTTTGAAGATCTTGATCGCACTGCGTGCCGCGGGAAAGGACCGTTTCAAAGGAGGATTCCAAGTGAAGGCCCGATGCCTCGATGAGGTGCATCAATGTGGAACTTGCGATCCACGCAGAGTGGGGTGGAGCGGTCATCCGCATATAGACCACGCGGAGCGTCCAGCCTGTCACAAAATCTACGGAAGGTGTGCCGCTTAAACCATTAATGTCGAGAATGGACCGGGCAGCCTCTACTAGGTTCAATTCAGTGATCGTCGCGCTCCGTTCGGAGAACAGGCACCCTAGTGCTGCGACACTGCTGAGCACCCCATCGTACGTGTCTCTGGTGAGGGGTGAAGCCCACCGGGCGTCCACGCGCTCATAGAACTGTTGACGATCGATGAAGCCATAGCATGGGTGCACTTTAGAAAAGTAGATGTCCGCCAGTGACTCCATATCTGTACGAGAGAGAATATCGACGATTGGATAGGCACGGACGGGTGGTCCTAGGCCAGACGGTAATTGGCGAGGGCCAATATTCCACCCAAAGAGATTCAACTTGGGTGCATTCGCTGGATCGACTTTGAGGCCCATCCTCCTGACGAAAGCCGCTCCAGAGTTGGCCTCAATACATCGGAAAACATTTTGGAGTTCTGTTGGTTCCCTTCCTTGGCTAAGGCGTTCGGCAGGCGGTTGCTCTAGCAATGTCGGCCTTGCAGACTCGGATAAGGGTGGGGTTTTCGCTTCGAAAGGCCGCTCATAGAAACATTCGTAACCCCAGTTCACACATGTCATACATGGGTTCCCTCCATTGCATTTCCTTTTGCGACCCCGACATGGCTCACAGGCCACCCGGGAGCGCTTCCGCTTCAGTTGTGCAGACGTAGGCATAATGTATCTATMATCTATGGGAGAAAAGAAGCAGTACTTGACTGCCAGGTGGCGCCGATAGCACCAAAGCCCGAAATAGAACACAGTTGGTCGCCTCAACAGAAGTGTAGATACCGTAAGCTAGCGGAATTTACTTGGATGGAAGAGCGGATATTGCGGGGATATCGTATCGGATTATGTAAGCAATGTCCCGAAACCGATGGTGTCATAGATTCGTGGCGCCCAGTTGGGGCATTGAGGACAAGCCTAGTCACACGTCTGGAGGAGAGTTAGAGAGGTTAGAGATGTGTTTGGCAGAAGTTATATAAACTCGGTTGTTCCTCTAGCTGGACGAACATTGCTCTCAACAACATTGCTCCGAAAAATCTTGATAGCAGTAAATCCAAAGTTCAGAATGCCGTTTCCTACCACCAAACCCACCCTTCACTACTTGGATATCGGTTCCCTTGGCCGTGGAGAAGTTATCCGGTAGGCGTAGCAGTACCGGATTTGTGCGTCGAATGGAGACTGTCGCTGACCAAGAACACCTGTTTAGGTTGTTTTTGAGAGACGCCGGGATTGATTTCGAGGATGTTCGCTACGCTTATGATGACTCTTGGCCAACAACCCGCGCCGAACTCAAAGACAAGGGACTGTCAGTCACTGGCAAAGTACCTGTGCTTGAGTATGAGGGAAAGGTCCTAAGACAGGTAAATTTTGTCATATGCAAATTATAGCACCTGCTGACAGGGTGCAACAGCATCTTCCTATTCTTCGATACCTAGCCAGGGAGCTCGGCTCATATGACGGCAATACTAGCATTGAAAAGTATCTCGTTGATGCTGTTGCCGACATGTACAATGACTGGAGAGTAAGCCTGATTTTACTGAAGATCCGAAATGACGAAACTTGTCACCTGGACTGACCCAAGCTTTAGATCGAATGGGTAAAGAACATAAAAAGCGTGACTGACGAGTATAAGGCATTTGTCCCTAGCTATTACAAGGCACTGGACAAATTCTACGCGGAGAATAGTGGTCCTTTCCTTCTAGGGGAGAGGATCACTTATGCGGACTTTGCCGTCTATCAGTCCATCGACAACGACTCGCAGATTGGAACTTTACCAGATGCTCTACCAGAACGTCTCACCGATTTCAAAGCTGCATTCGAAGGTCGGCCTCGAATTGCTGCGTATCTTGCGAGTCGCCGTAAGCTGTGACCCCATTGAGATAAGCTGTGGAATATGGCATTCTGCTTTGTCTCTTGGCTTGAGTCGGAAGAAAAGCACTCACTAGAACACAAACTAAAGCGTAATGAAATACAATAGTTGTATGCATTTTGGGGGCATCCCCACATCCTGTCTGTTGTAGTTCGTTTCTTTGATGCGATTCCCACCGGTTCCTGCCTCTGGCTTGACCATACATTTCCGAATGGCTCTCATGTGAGAGTTCTAGTGAATCATGTTTCTCCTGGGGGAGTTAAGAATGCATCATGTATTGTCTTATTCTGCCCCCGGCAATACTGAGGTTCTATAATCTCGTTTATAACTTTCGATATTCTTCGATCCGTCGAGGGATTCGAATAATGTGTCGCAACCCGTCTTCTTCCTGCTTATGCCGTTCCAATTTCACGTGTCTCAGAATCCCGCGTCGTTCTATGACGGAGAAAATGCGGCGATAGAGGAAAAATGATGACATGATGCCTCCAAAGCATGCGGTGCGGATATTGCGGAAGCAAATACAATCACACTTAACACTGCACCAATAGCTCCGCTATGTGTTGGTGACATAAAGTATAAGTGCTGACTCTTGCCCCCTGTCGCGTACTTGATCTCCTTTCCTGAAAATTTCTGTACTTTTCATTTCCCCCACTACGTCCAATTTAGCTCACCTGTCTTCCAAAGTAAACCACAGTCCAAGTCATCGTTCTCTTTCCCACCGATATTGCGTACTGTTTAAGATGCCCGGTGTATGTGATGTCGCGAAGAACATCTCCCGGCGCTATCCGTGGGTGTCAAGCCCATGTATCGTGAGCGCCCCGATGCGTGTCATGTCCGGTCCGGCCTTGGCGGTTGCGGTTTCTCACGCTGGCGGTTTGGGATTTATAGGACCCGGCGTCAAAACGCAGGACATGCTGGCTGATCTTGAAGAGGCAACGGCACTAGTCAACAAAATGCGGACGTCATCATCTATTTTCAATGCCCTATCGGCGGCCGAATACCCGCTTCCCATTGGCGTGGGTTTTCAACTCTGGAGTGATGATCTTGAGGTCGCGGTAGCAGCAGTTGAGAAATTTAGACCTTGTGCTGCTTGGCTCTATGCCCCGCGGGAGGGTCGGAAAGATTTTGACGCTTGGTCCCTTCGGATCCGCAATGCATGGCCACGGATCCAAGTCTGGATCCAAATAGGAACCCTGGCGGAAGCAAAGGAGCTTCTCAAGTGTTCCGAGCGGCCAGATGTGATTGTTATTCAGGGTGCCGAGGCTGGAGGCCACGGTCGGGCCAAGGATGGACTCGGACTATTATCACTCTTCCCAGAGGTGGCCGATGCACTGGCAGGAAGCAACATTCCGCTTTTCGCCGCGGGGGGAATTGCCGACGCGCGGGGTGCGTCGGCAGCAATTTGCCTGGGAGCTTCTGGTGTGGTGATGGGGACGCGCTTCCTCGCAGCCCATGAGGCGCGCATCAACCCGGGTTATCAGCGCGAAATTGTGCGAGCCAGCGACGGCGCGGTTACAACCACGAGAACATTGCTTTATAACCAACTCCGCGGCACCACAGGGTGGCCGGAAGAGTACAGTCCGCGTACCATCATTAACAAGTCCTTTATCGAGCACCAGGGGGGCCGGTCCTTTGAAGAACTGAAGAAGCTGCATGATGAAGCCCTTAAGGCCGGTGATAGTGGATGGGGACCGGAGGGACGGCTTGCCACCTACGCGGGAGCTTCCATCGGATTGATTCACGAAGTAAAGGACGCTGCGACAATCGTCCAAGATGTCCGCAAGGGGGTGCTGCAGAGACTTTCATACTTGCAAGAGCATAAACTGTAGGTATTAGCGCGTATATCTGCGGCCCAGTAGTTCTAGGAAACAGAATAGTCCTTTAAAGGTTAGCAATATAGACTCACCTAGGTATCTGCTTCTTTTGCCAATTGTCACCATCCAGGTGCCTTTATATAAACACATAATCTAGACATCGCCGAAGGCTAAACGTCCTCATTTCAGCTCCTTACCTCTTCTACGACCAGTACTCTATACTAGGGAGCTCCTTACCCAAATATTACGAACCTGTATAGAACACAAAACATATCATACCCGTATCCATGGAAATCCTTGCCCAGAGAATTCGAAGCTGCATTTCCTAAAGCTGAGCAGACAGCCTCCTTGGGAAAAGCAGTCTGGTAATCCGCATCTTCGCCCCGTCACGCTACGCAGGTTAGCAATCCACCGTACTTGTATGAAATGCGGCTTGGGGACAGGGAAAGATCTTGGACTACGGAGTTAAACAGCGCCCCTGCGCGCAGCTTCACGAGATTTATAGCGGTTCGATGTTTTTGAGAAGGGAAATAAATCTCAAGGGTGGAGTCAGACCTATTGTTATGATGACCTCTGAATATATACGTCAGTTATGGAAGACTGGGCTAGACTTGGCTTGTCGTAGTTTTGCACCTAGGTGGCCCGATTCCAAGGATATTTCCTCAGCAGAGTGATGGTAGCAATGGATACGAGTATTTCTCATGTGAGCAACTCTTGGGTCGTATCTGAAGATGAAGGTCCATGATCATTTCATGACTCGATGGAACAGAGCTGACTACTATTATCCTTAAAATGGCGAATAATCCCACTGGTAACCAGCCTTCATGTGGCTAAACTCAGTCAATAGGTGCCATCGATTGGTGACGATGGCCATGTAGCCAAGGCCATCTGGGGCGAGAGCTCCCAGGCTAGATCACCACTAGGATCTTCAAAGCTTCTCTTTGCTCAAGGCAACAGCCCCAAGCTTGAGCACCCTGGCAGCATTTCCGCCAAAGAAATCTGCCTTGACGTCGTCCCGAAGTCTGATGTCCCGGTTCGCTGACTCGACGCACTTGCTCCAGCTTAATTGGGGGAAGTTAGTTCCAAACATGACCTTTTTCCTTCCGGTGGTGTTTGCAAACTGTATCAGTTCCTGTGCCGACGTCAATGTCAGTGAATTTGCCACAGACATCACTGCATACGTATGTTACCTTTGGATAATACTTCGGTAGATATGCCGAAGTGTCGATGTAGACATTCGGATGCTTCCACGCCACACCGATCATCTCTTGTGTCCAGGGAAAACCAATATGTCCACAGATGATCGACAGCGAGGGGAATGCCAGTGCCACCTCGTCGATATACTGGAATTTATCAGCTGGCTAAATTGCCTTGGTAGGATGGCATCCTTGAGGAACTTACAGGTACTGGTCGGCCAACTTCGCTTGGGCAGAGGGGGCCAGTATGTCCGACCTGAGTGAGCTGAAACGAAACAATACTGGTTAGCTATCCTTCCCAATCATGAAGTTGACAGTAGAAGGTACTTACGAAGGGAATATTGAGCTCAATGCACTTAACATAGAGCGGCCAGCTACCCGCAGACGTCTCAGCCGACTATCGAGCATTTCCTACTTGATGTGATAATTAACTTACTAGTGCTTGTCCGTTGGTGGTAGATTCCAAAGCCATGGCACCACGCGAACACCTTTAAATCCTTCGACTTTGACGTACTTTTCCACCTCTTTCACGTAGCTGACCGGATCATGCAGGTCGACACCGGCAATCCCGATAAAACGGTCAGGATAGGCGCGAGTGAACTGCGCCACGTCTTCGTTGGAGAAGACTACTTGCCCTGGTCGGTACCATGCGCAGAGGCATATCTTTGAAACTCCCGCGGCATCCATGAGAGCGACGAGCTCATCGGGTGTCCGTCTCCGGGATAGCAAGCTGGTATCAGCATGAGACTGTTCGAATAGACGGCGAACCTCAGGTACGCCTTCCTATTATCATGAATTTACGATTAGCCAGGGAGAATTTATATTAGGGCCGAATTTGACTGCGAGCATTGTTTGAAGCGGAACTTGATTCACTCACGTCCAAAGGTAAGACGGGATTCGCCCAAACGTCAATGATGGGGAAAGACATTGTCGGGTCCGTATGGCAATATTTCAGGTAAATGGCTGATATTCTCTAAAGTGATAGCTGGATTAAAACAGGTACTCTTCTGCTTTAATCGTATGTGGATGCAAAAAGAAGGGAGACCACAATGTCAAGGTTCCCCATTCTTGGCCGCAGTAACAGTACCTCGGCTCATTGATTGTGACTGACTTCCGAGTTACAGACACGAGCGGTGGTGATTAACTCGACTTTCAAGATTGATTTATATTTGTTTGCGCGTGTGTATTATTTTCCGTATTTACTCTCTCTGGATCTAGTGCAACCTACGAATGGCCTCTTTTCAATAACTTCAGTCCAAAATGACACATCTGGATTCCTTTGGGCTGTCATATCCCAAGGCCCAAATTGCCCTAAAAAGTACAAGGCGTTAGATGTGACTGATAATGGGATGAACCGATAGCTATCCATTCAGGGATTCAGTGACAAGGTTATGCGGTGTCAAGTACAGCGGCTTGCACTGCTCATTTCCATGTGATCTTAGACGGCAGTCAGATCCTAAATATCGATACGGTAACCAAGAACCATCCGTGAATTACAATACCTCAGCATGTCTAAACCCACCTGTTCTATAACCCGGGGTCGTATCTATCAGATCTTAGCCTGCTCAGCAAATGTCAGAGAAGAGGTGAGATATAGGAATAGAGGCCTCGTCAGGGGGCCCTAGCGTTCTGAGAGCCGACTCGCAGATAAAGACCAACATCAGTTGTGCTTTTTGGCCCTGTGACGTGTGTGCTTAGATTATCCAGCCAGGCGACGGGATCTCTTCGATACGAGGGGAGAAAGAGGCGGAGTGAGTGCATGGTGCAAACTTGCTGCTTAGAGGGGTTTCGTGTAAGCATTTATTATTTCCGCTTGTCTGGCATCCGAGGAATCGAGAGAAAATCCCTACCGACAAGTTAGCAGATTGATGTCCGGCTCTCGGGTGGAGCATGCCTCCTCCTCGGCGAGCCCATCCCTCTAAGGATATACATGACGAGAATCAACGGGCAGTCTGTAACCTCATCTTGACGACTTCCAGTTAATGCTCATCGAAAAAACCGAGCTACGAGCACATGCATCCGTCGAAACCAGCACCCGTCTCTACGCCTGCAAACAGTGAGCAACGTGCGCAAACGAGCCTATTCCTGTGGCACACCAGTAGGATGCAACGGACACCTTACAGTTGAGATAAGCAATGAAAGACGTAATGGAAGGATTCCGATCTGGCTGATGGAAACCTAGATATAGGGATATTTAGGTCTGATGCAGGTGCTCTGGGGAATTGACTGTGCCTGCGGCTTTCAAACACATGATCCGCTATAACTCCGGAGTAGATAGTTATAATAAAGTCCTCGGTGTTAGTCGTAGAGGTCTAGAATCTCACTACTGAGTGGCCATCCGGCCCTCAGCCCAGCGCCATCATCGTGATAGGTAGTTTGTTTGGCTCTGCAGATATAGAATTCCCTTACAACTGTGACTCATTGATTCTAGGCTAACCATGGCTACTACATCTGTCGTGGGAGCATCTAACTCCACAGCTTCTTCAGTATGCCCTCATTTCATCACTTGTAGATGAGTGTCACCCCTATCCAATGGAAAGTTCTGCCAAGGCATTGCCCCAATCGATACATATAAGTCTCAGACCCCAACCTCCTTCATGGTGAGTCTGATTAAGTTGGCTCAACCATTGCTTTCAAATGAGATCTGCATTAGGTCTGTGTGTTGAGGTGCTCCTAGCGTTCGTAAGGAAAAAGGAGACCTGTCTTTTTGTAGTGTAAATATTGGGTATGGAGAACGAGAGATAAAGATTGCAAGAAGGCTAGCTCTTTGGATTCGAGGATTCCACCGGACGAGCGATCCCTAGTTCAGGGACCCTGTGACTTGAAGATGGCCCCTATCGCTGTCGTACTTGCCCCAGGCCGATGAAACCGGACAGCAGGGTCCGACGCCTTTACGGCATGTTTTTCGTCTTGGTGGAACTGTCTTGTGGACGGAGTAGCATGGTGGCACCCACACTTTCCAAGTAGATTGCAATCAGGTGGCCTCAGTAGGCATACAATTCTTGGCAGAACTATTGCCCACCTCTCCTCAAGGCTCCACCGTGATCTGCATATGCTTCTTCTTGCCCTTGGTGTATACACGCTGATCATTCGGATCGAAACCACCATTACCCCAGAGTGCCCAGTCCTCGGTTTCCCTCGTGTAGTCTTCGGGACCAAAAGATGTGCCATCGGCCTTCTCCTTCTCCAAAAGCTCGAAGAATCGATCATAATCAATCCGAGTGTGCCATTTGCCATTGACGTGGAATCGTTCCGAGGCAATGAGCACACAGCAACTGTGCGCATGCTCCGCGGCGATGCCATACTTCAGCCCACGGCGCTGCAGCTCGGCATCGAGAGCAGTGACGAACTGGGCGACTTCTTCGTAGAAAGGCACATTCTGCATTGTCAAGCCAGCCCCAGCACTCGTGGTTGTGCCACAGAACGTTACACCTTTTATTTCGACGAAACACGGAAGTGCCTTTTCCACCAGATTTGCGTAGCCGATGACTTCATCATCAATGTTGAATCCCTTGACCAAGGTGAGACGGAAAACAGTGCGCTGGACATGGCGCTTCTCCCGTAGGATGTCTAAACAACGTTGGAAGCGCTCCCAGAAATCCCGATGCAGAGGACGATCGATCTTCCGCAGACTCTCACGGTTGCTCGCATCAATGGACACGTATAGTTGGGTTACGCGACGCAGAGCTTCGAGCTGATCAGGATGTTGAGCATTGCATACCAGGAAGCTGGAGATGTGTTCACCGTGTAGCATGTCCAGGAACTCATTGATGTGAGGATAGAAAATCGGTTCGCCGACCAAACTCAAGGCACAGTGTCGGATACGCATGGCCTCTGCGAATCTCTCGGCTCGCACGCCAGGAACGCCACGCATCATCTTGATCTTCTTGTAATGGCCCTCCTTGACTCCCTGGAAGATCAATTCCGGAGAATCCACTTTCCAACGCCAAGTAGTTCCGACCGGGTTTGTACCGTGGCGCCAGCAGAAGATACACTTATTGCTGCAAGAGAGAGATGGTGTAGCTTCCATGCAAAGATGAGATCGTATACCGTAAAAGGAGAACTTGTAACATGAACCTCGACCACGTAGCGCAGATTTAGTCCAACGACAGATCTTGACACCAGAGTGAGACCCGACGATGGTATAGCCTTGTTTTGTTAGAGCAGCGTAGGTGGGTGACGTCTTTGGAACCATCTCCTTCTCGGTTGATTGCCCAGAGGAAGACTTTCCTGCGGTTGTAAAATCCACGGGAATTGGGGACCCGGCTGCGTTTTTATCACCTCCAAACTTGATGTCCTCCAAGTCCACAACATTTTGAGCATTGCTCTTGTCTACATCTTCATCGTCCAATTCCTCGTCACTCTCAACCGGATCACCACTGCCAGGCACGCCTTCTCCTAGCCCGCCATTTTCGAGGATGTCAAAAAGGATATCTTGCAATCCCTGCGACCACTCTTTCAAGGAGGATTCGGCGTCACTTTTGACATCACCGAATCCCAAAGGATATGCTCGTTTCCGCCTTGTTAGTTTGGCCATCCATTTGTCCAGCTCTTTGGCTTGAGAACAGAAGCCTTCCTCCTCGGTAGGCCAGCCTTCCTTATCACCAAATCCGAAAACAGAGTACCCGGCGAGGCTTGACAGAGCGCCTGTGTCGATGCGGAAATCATTATGAGTCTCGTTAAGATGGTCGAGGAACGTATTCAGGATACTGTCGATGTTGTATGTAGGGATCAATAAGCAGTATACGTAGCGTGTGCCGGGTGAGTTTGGCGGAGGCTTCGGTGCAGAAGTGAAGTAGTCGTCGAGTTCGATATAGGAGAGGTCGTGCATCTGAGGGGGTAGAAGGCCACGCTCGCGATCCTGCAAATCAGCCCGCTTTTGCGCCGCAGCCCGCAACTCCTCCAACAATATTTTGGCATATCTTTCAGTGTTGCCGGTCAAAGAAGCGAAAAAGATGATGGGTTGGATAAAGGAGAGAGGCTCCGCATCCTCTGTTTGTCCTCGTCGTCCAGCAACCTTCGAGGGTTTTTTACCGGTAACCCTCTTCGGGCCTGAAGTGCCCTTTGGTGGGCCTTTGGCCAAGGGAAGTTGCTGTTCAGCCTTCTCTGTCGTTGCTTGGCTGCTGCTCTCGAGCGAGGCGCCTTTTTCTGTCTGTTCAGGGGATTGGCTACGGGGCGATGGCGGAACCGAAGACGAAGCTGTTGTTTTCGTCCTGGACTGAAGTTTGCGGTAGAATCGTTGGCCCACGAAGACCGTTGAGAGAGCGACCAGGAACAGTAGACGGTAGGAATGCCAGAAGGCCAAAAGACCTGTAAACGAACTATCGGTCAGCATGATACTTGGGAAAGGACCTCTCATTTTGTCGAACCTTCAGTAAAGGAGTGCTCCGCCATGATGATTCCAAGGAATCGATACAGCAGTGCAACCCTCTTTTTTTTTTTTAAACTGCCGCGTTAATATTTAGTCGCATTCGCGGAGAGAAACTTGAGAAAGGCGGGATAAAAGATTGACGGAGGGCGATCGGACCAAGTGGGGAAAAGCCAAGAGGGGCACAAACGGGGTCTCTTTGTTTGTAAGCAGCTATGTACACTCGGAGATGAAAGAAGTGAGCAAGTAATACTTGCACAAATGACGATTTACCTGGATACTTCAGCTTTAAAAAGCTTTTTGTTCACAGAAGGTTGCTGAGAGGCACTCATGAGGGAGAGATTTCTCCATTCAGATGGGCTCTGATTGGCTCCCGCATTTTGAGCTTGCTGCCCAGGGTTACAGGTAGACACCTCAGGCAGGAATCAGCGCACAAAGAACAGTCCAATTTATACTTCGAAATCTCCCTAACTATAAATAATAAACAATAATTAATATGGTCTTGCTATCCTCGTTTTTGAAGGACAAAATCCGCCGACATCAGATACATGCTCGCTGCATGATGAGTCAACCTTAGGAACGCCCTGTCCCTTGATAGTCAATCTCAGACCTGAGATAAGGAATTTAAGGCCCTGAATTGCACCAGCGCTGATAACCTGCATATTGCGAGAGCGTATTAATTCCTCTTTTGTAGATGGAAGATAAGAAAAGTCATGTCATGAGCGATCAGCTCGCCAGGTCAAGTAGGTAGACAACTGGTAATTACCAGTACCTTACTAGTATCTAGGTACTAGGGTTATGCTCGCCAGGTTGCTTACTACATGTTTTGTACGTGGCAAACTTAGCATAAATATTAGTAAGCGACCTCCCCTGGTGAGCATAAACCGTAATTACGAGCAGCCTATCAGTAATTACTAAGGTAGCCATGTATCTGGTGACCCGGCGACCAGGTGACCTGGCGACCTGTATAATCTCAAGACATGATTGCATGAAGATAGAAATAGTCAACTGTGCGTGCTATCGATCGTATTGTCAGCCTAGCCTCGCCTTTAGTGCGGACACTGTTGTGAGTGTAACCGTTTTCTTCAACACGATCATCTTGACATTGATTGATCTCTATGACTTAGCAGCAGACGTCTAGAAAAATGTCTGTTAAGAAGCAATCTCTTGAGAGCTTTTCAAATGATGAAGAGAAAACAAGCTCAAATTTCCCAGAAAACGTCCTTAACTCGCTATCTTGGACGTTTGGTTGTGACGCTCATACTAGCATGCCTTGTTGTTTTCATGACGGCGTCTCCCCCATTGAGCGCTCCTCGTAGCATTGAGCAGAGGGTCGACAAGATTCTGTCAGACACCCCATTGACTGGTAAAATATCCTTCTCATTTAGCCACGCGAGTATACTTAAGGCTACACAGATGGCCACGATGACCTTCCTATCTTCATCCGGTCTTTTTTCAACAACAAGATTTATGCGGACAACTTCACCGTTCCTTTTACTCAAGGAGACCTCAAAGGTCATGTTGATCTGCCGCGACTTTCTAAGGGCAAGGTCGGCGGTACCTTTTGGAGTGTGTTTGTCCAGTGTCCTAAGAATTGGGAGGATTTCTCTGATGCAACGTATACAACGAGTAGGCGTATTAAGCCCTTGCATCTCAGACTCACTGCTAATAACTGTTTAACAGGCATTCGTCAAACATTGGAACAAGTCGACCTCATATCACGACTAGCAAAGGCCTACCCTGGCACATTTTCATCACCTCCGAATGGAACAACCGCTCTTCGAGCTTTCCTAGATGGCAAGATCATTTCTCCTTATGGGATTGAGGGCCTGCACTCCATCGGTAACTCCATGGCTCTGTTGCGAGATTTCTATGACCTTGGGGTGTCATACGCCACACTGACGCACAACTGCCATAATCGTTATGCGGATGCCGCTTTGACTGAACAGCCCGATGGCAGTATCAAAAAGGCCGTTCCGTACTGGCACGGGGTCAGTGAAGCTGGAAAGAATCTCGTCTATGAGATGAACCGGATGGGAATGATTGTCGATCTGGCTCACGTCAGTGTGGACACTATGCGAGACGTCCTCGGTGCCGGTAAGGGCAATTGGTCCGGCAGTCGTGCGCCAGTAATATATAGTCACAGCTCTGCTTACGCGATCTGTCCCCATCCTCGCAACGTTCCCGACGATGTGTTAGAACTCGTCAAGGCAAAAGACTCGCTGGTTATGGTCAACTTCTCGCCCAATTTCATCTCTTGTACTGCGTCGGACAACCCAGATGAGTTACCAAAGACTGATATGGAGCATGCTACTCTTGCAAGAGTTGCAGATCACATTATGCACATTGGAGATCTGATTGGCTTCGACCATGTCGGTTTAGGTAGCGACTTTGACGGTATCATGACTGTTCCTCGAGGTCTAGAGGATGTGTCTAAATTCCCCGACTTAATCGCAGAGCTTCTACGACGGGGTGTCAGTGATAAGGATGCTGCCAAGGTCGCGGGGGGTAACCTACTGCGTGTATGGAAGCGAGTCGACAAGGTCGCCCTGCAGATGCAAGGTGAGGGAGCTTTGCCAGCCGAAGACAATACAGCCTAGGTTGGTCGATAGGTTGATTGACAGCCGCAACGCGCCTCTTCATCTTCTCTTTGTTCATTTCTAACTCTGTGTATTAATACGCTTGTAACACTCTCAGAGAATGCTGTACAACACATAAGCAATGATAAGATCATATGCAAAACCTGCCCTTGCGAAGTGCGAGCCTCAGGCAACCCTTGGGTTTACAGTATCATCCTCGACTTCCCTCAGCGGATGTAGTCCTCTTCAGCAATTCAAACCCCTTCAACAAATTCCAACCCTGGTCTTTCAGAAACTTATACTTGCCCTGTGACTCTAAACTCTCACGCACCTCCTCCTCCGTTGCCCACACAAATGCCTGATGCTCGGCCTGCTCCAACTTCACGCCATCCTCCCAGCGCTCCGGCGCAACTCCCACCACCACGTCCTCAGAGGGCACACCAGCCTTCCCACTCGCCTCATGCACCTCAACCAAAAAAGTGAACTTGGCTACACGGTGCAACTCATTCCGCAATATCCGCGACCACTCGTTAATCGCAATCAAATCAACAAATTTGGAAACGTGGAGCCCGGTCTCCTCGAAGACCTCGCGCGCTACACCGGCTAGCAGCGTGGCATCGGTGCGCTCGCACATCCCTCCTGGTCCTTCCCAATGACCGGCGTAGGAGTCGGTGGCGGCGCGTTGGAGGAGCAGAACGCGGGTACGAGGCTGTTCGCTTGTCGGTTCGGTGGCGTCATCGCCGCCTTCAATGGATTGAGAATATACCACTCCCCCGACAACGAAATCCGTCAGATGCGGTTTCGTCGCGGCGAATTCGAGCAGAGGGACATTGTATTCAGCGAGACGAGGAGGTACGATGAAATCAGGAAATTCCGCCATTTCGGTCTTCGATGCGACACAATATTGCGATGTTTATGTGTCTGGGAACGGGTTAATGTTCTCGACCCTTTGGAAGATAATTCCTCGGCCTTTTTGCTCGTTCAGCTGGAGGTTGGATGACTCATGCTATACAAAAGCTGTCCCGATCGATCTACCCGATGGTATAGGCAGTCGTATTTACATTTAGGTTTCGAGCCTCAGATGATTCAAATAGTGAGAGAAGACTCAGCTCTAGAATCAACCTCCGACGAGGGTGCGGGGTGGTCAAGCTCTTATCGCCCAAATACCCCACATCCTGATGATCAATTAAAGCAGTTGCCTATTGCTCGCCATCATTGATATATACAGGCGCATACAGAACTATATACGAGTCGAAAAAAGTCGCCGGACTATGATTGTTATAATCAGGTCAAATCACAATTTGCTTTCGGGCAGCTGGTGTATCAGGAAACCCGCAAAGAATTTTCCAATCTGCGTATAGTCATCCAGACTCATCAAGGCAGATACATCTGGGCAAGAGTTAGTGTTAGCTACCCAAATTGACGATTAGAATCCTCACATTGATCTGGACGGACAATCACAATTGCACCCTTCTCGGGACTAATCCCTAGGTGCTCGTAGCAGTGACCATGACCCTTGTTATAGCTTTCATCGTCGTAGTAGATTTTGTGAAGGTCTGATGATCGTTAGCACATCTTACTATGGAGTTTCTTTATTAACTTCGGAGACCTGCCTTTGATTTGATGCTTTCCAGTCACAGGGTAGAAGCACTCGGGAATCTGGTCCAGTTCCACGGCATGGCGCTTGCCATGACCCACCAGAATAGGCTCAATAAGACTGTCGATATCTCCTCCCTTGGGGCGGAATGTCTGGATAGGACCCTCTGTTGAGCCGAGATAGTCACCGATCTACTATGAGGTCAGCAAGTCTTATTCAGGCAGCACTATGACGAGCGTCACTTACAGCTTTCAACTTTGTCCTAGTTTCGGCCGAGCTGATATCTCCAATGAAGACTATCACTCGCCAACGGCCATCTGAACTGAGCGACTGAGCTAATTGCATGGGCTTCGAGTCACTGAAGCGCACGACTTGAGCGCTGGGCAGTCTCATACCAACAACAACGTTTGTCGAAAGCTTGTCTGAGTCGTCCACGTCGGAAGTGATCTGTGACTTGTCATACCGCGCCGTCATTCCGGCGGTATACTTGCCAGACTTGATAAACCCCTCCTGGAACTCAGCGGGTGACGTCTGACCTCCCGAGGAGAAGAGCTTCGAGAAATACCGGTCGAAGTCGATCAGATCGATCGCCACCTTCTGGCGTTCCAGGACATATGTCTCCAACAAGGAAGGCGACGCCAATCCTTTTAGGACAGTGGCTAGCTTCCAGCCTATGTTGTACCCATCCTGCAAGCTGACGTTCATGCCCTGACCGGCTTTTGGGGAGTGTGTATGACAAGCATCACCGGCAAGGAAGACGCGGTAATCCTTGTGAAAGAAATCTGCATGGCGTTGGCCAATGGAATACGCAGACCACCAGACGGTTTCGACAAACTCAATCGTGTACTGGCTAAGAATGTTCTTTGCTGCCTGCTGGAGATGCTCAAGCTTGACTTCCTTGGGCTTTGTGCCGGTCGGCAGCTCGATGTAAAAGCGAGCCAGACTGCCACCTTCCCGGGGGATGATCATCAGGTTTCCTGCTTTCGAGCGGATGGTGGTCTTCCTCCGAATGTCAGGGAAATCGGTGCGAGGGACCATATCCATGACACCCCAGACGGCATCGGTGCTGTCTCCGATCATGTTGTAGCCGAGTGATTTCCGAACGGTGCTGTGAGCACCATCGCAAGCCTAGAGACGTCAGAGCCTACCCCTATAGCAAGAAATGAAAGTAACTGAGCATAACATACAAGCGCATATTTAGCCTCGAATGTCTCAGCCTTCCCGTTCTTCTCAGCAGTCACCTTGACAGGATACGCCTGCGGATCCGCCACCAGCTTGCCATCCACTTCGACGCTGGTGACAGTGTACCCGTAGTCGATCTCCTGATTGTTCCACTCCCGCATCTTCTCAATCAGCAGCCCATTAATCCGAGCCTGGTTAAGAATAACATGCGGCTGATGTGACAGGCCCGGCTGCGTATCCACCGTCCGACCAGTGCGCTTGATCGAACCAGATCCATCATCGGCCCAGAACACCACCTCCAGCACATGGTACGCTTCACGCAGCAGCTCCTCGCCGATACCAAAGCTCTCGAAGATTTCAACGGTCCTGCATTGCACACCATCAGCTTGGCCCATCGTCATGGGCCCGTCGCGGCGCTCCAGCACCTTACACCGGATGCCGTACCGCGCGAGCCATGTCGCTGCGCAGAGGCCTGCGGATCCGCTCCCGCAGATAAGTACATCGATTTTCTCGGACATTGGAATAAGTCGACTATGAAAATGTAGGAGAAGAGTGATAGAACTGGAGAAGAACCCTTTCCCCGGATTTTGTGGCCATGGTCTGCTTCTTTATGGTATACTCGGACCCGGGGCCGGAACGTATCCCGTAAGTCCGGGATGCATCCCGGGCCATCGGCAGATGATGCCACGCGTCCAGCCAGTGCCGGCCAATCAGCAATGAGATCAAGAGGACCAGCATAAAGACATAGAGTATATTGGACAGATAGAGTCTATTGCACGCATGCAAGGTATCAAAGTGGAAGCATACAAGCTGATGAAGCAAGTAATCATGCCGCCCTCTTGGGCTCAAAGATGAAAGTATCGTTAGCGGGGTCTAAGATCATTATATAAATCATCATCGCTGCCCACACTGGCAAATAAGACAGACCATCAAGCATGCTAGGACGCCAGCGTCATGCGGACCGGGTATCTCCCGGAATTCTCAGAAAATATGCCAAAAGGGAGAGCGCAAAAGAGGTATTCTACAAAAAGTACTCGCTGCGGCCCGGCCGCGATACGGGTACATGCCGTTGGTCGTCGCTGACAGCACTGAACAACTTGAACGTCGGTTTGAGGTCGTCACCAATCTCGCACACGGACGCCAGATTTCCGCATCGGTAACAATAGTTGGGCGCACTCCACACAGTAACCACATTCTGGTTCGCAAAATGATACTTGTAGCCCTCATTCACCAACTGATGCGCTCGGGCGATCAATGTCAAGTCATTGACGTGACAGAATTCGTCGGCCACCTTATCACCGAACAGCCAACCTGTGAACTGTAAGTATTTCGCCTGGCGTAAATGGACACATAACTTACCTGCTCCTCTGGGGCTGACAGCCCAAGTTTCCACATCGTCTGGGTCTGACCATACAAGGTCACAGAAGGCGCCTTCATGCGGAATCTCCTGGGCTCGGGCAACCACACGAACTTGGTCCAAGGTCCTGATCTCTGGACTCAATCCTCCATGTACACACAACACTCTACCGTCAATGATGGCACCCAACGTCATGAAGTCAAACACTTGACAACAAGCCTTCCATACAGAGGCATTTCCGTACTTCTGAAAGCATTCCTCGTAGAACCCGTACACCTGCGTAATCTGGCGAGACTCGTGATTTCCGCGGACCAGTGTTACCCGGTCAGGGTATCTAGAGGGAGTCAGTCCTAGTCTGTGGCAGGGGAAGCTAGAACGAGCACTCACTTGGCTTTGAGACATAATAACAACGTCAGAGTTTCCAGACTGAAGTATCCACGATCGACATAGTCACCCAAGAACACAAAGTTCCGTTTGAGCTCGACATCTCTTGAGCCATCGCTCGAGGACCGGTTTCTTTGGCTCGCACTCGAGTCTTCTCCTCCCTCCTCCGGCGCAGAGGCATTTTTCAACTTCTTTCGTAGCTTAGGATCCGAAATCGTGGACGGAGGTTCGATATCTTCCGATGTGATGACAGCTGACTGCGTCTTCGGGGCCTCCGCCTCAGACCCGTCGGGCATTCCGCCCGATACTCGGAAAAGCTCAAGCAAATCGTAAAACTGGCCATGAATGTCGCCACAAACCGTGACCGGTGTCGATACTGGCTGGATATTTGATTCTTCAGAGATACTTTGTTAGAGCCGGAGTATATCCCTTGATCCCCTGAACAGACTCACCCTCCATCATGTACTCCTTGACGATCTCGCAAAGCTGCTTCATGTGCTGTTCTGACAGATACTTGCAGTCTTTGGCTGCCTCCAGCCATTCATCTGGACCTGCATTGCGCTTCAGTTTAGCTGGTCCCGGCTCAGGAATCTTGCTGTCCACCATGGTGCGGGTGCGGATGAACGAAGCGACGACTGGATAGTTCGACCGAGTTGATGAGAGACTTGAGGTAGAATTAGAGAGCTATCAGAATCGGAATATAAAGATTGCTTTCTTGATATAGTTAATCACGGCGGAGGGTCTGGAGGACGACGAAAGCAACACAAGTTTACTTGCGCAAACGTATTTCCCCGCAGGAAATTGGGCCCTGAATCGTCTGTGCAGGGTCGCGTGCTTGGCGGCCTTCGTGTCCCGTAGTTCACTCGCCGCAACATATCCAGCTGGTTTTCATCTTGAACCGGAGGATATCTCTTCGTCAACTCAGGACAAACGTCACCTCCACTGTATCCTCACTGGTCTTTGTTACCTCGAATTCTTGAATACCATATTGTCCGCAGCATCTTCAGTCTGAGGGATTTACCTTGCGGCGCACCCCAGTCGGAGTGTAGATCCCACCCACCCCTCATAACGGTTCATCATGACGCAGATTTCCGATGGCAAGTCAACAGGGGGTGTACTTCAAATTCCTGTAGCTGCAACGCAGAAGAATGCATCAACAGCCTCCAAGAAGGCTCCGAAGCCACCTGCTCCGCGACTCAAATTGCTCGTGAGACGGTTACCGCCGGGTTTAACCCAATCCGAGTTCGAAAATGCTCTAGGTTCAGAGTGGATGGTTGGAGCAGGAAAAGTCGACTGGTACCAGTACAAACCAGGAAAGGTATCTAAAGAGTCAGTGCCAGCCCTTAGGGATCAAATCAGTACATCTTTCAACTGACATCGGTGCAGTCATGCCAAACCATCGAGACCCTCCCGCGCCTACATACATGTTACATCCAGCGAGCATATTGCGCCTCTATCAGATGTAGTCCGACAGACATCGTTCCTAGACGCTCGCAACACCTTCAATGATTCCGTGCTCCTGGGGCCACCGTCCCTAGAGTTCTCTCCCTACGCCAAAATACCTGGCAGCCGTGTACGGAAGGATGCCCGCCAGGGTACCATTGATCAGGATCCCGAATTCATCGCATTCCTCGAAAGTCTGACTCAGCCTATTACAAAACCTACCACCGTTGAAACGCCTACCGATGCCGAAGAAAAGAAGGAAACCGTGACCACTACGCCTCTCGTGCAGTATATCAAGGAAAAGAAGGCCAACAAAGCCAAAGAGGCCTCCAGCAAGTCCTCGAGGCATGCCAAGGGAGATAAGGAGTCCAAGTCGGAGAAGGTGCAAGCGAAAAAGCTTTTGCAGCGGCCGGACAAGGATGTCGCCGTGGCATCTACAGGAGACAAGGCAGAGAAGAAGTCCAGGACCTCAGACAAGGCGACGAAAGACGCAGTGAAAGCAGCAAACAGGGCCGCCAACGCTGCTGCTAAGCAAGCTGGTAAATCAGCTACCCAAAACACAAGCAGAGATAGTCCTCAGGCTGCTCCAACTGAGCGGAAACGCGAGCGTAATAACGTCGCTGCGGCAGCCAAGATTCTTCAGCGAGACTTGGGGCTTGCACCTTCAGGCGGCCGCCGGAGGGCCGGTAAGGGCGCTGCTACAGAGACGGACTCGAGTAAGAAAGAGCCGGACGCTGTTGCTACTCCAGATAGTGGCAAGAAGGATATTAAGTCTGGGAAACCGGCGTCACCATCGCAACAAGGGACTTTAAAAAGCAAAGCCAATGCTACACCTCCATCTGGCGATCCCGCGTCATCTCGTGCTCAGTCTGGTGCAAATGCAGCCCCTACTAGCACTCCATCCGCACCGAAGCAGTCGAAAACAGCGAAAGGCAAGCCAGCCGCGCCAGTTGCTTCACCTACGGCTACACAGGCGTTCCTCAAGCACGCCAATCCATCACAGGGAGTTACGGAACCATTACTTGAAACTGCATTTGCGCCTTTTGGAAAGATCTTGAAGGTGGAGATTGACAAGAAGAAGGGGTTTGGCTACGTCGACTTTGCAGAACCGGAAGGTCTTCAGAAAGCAATTGCCGCTAGTCCTGTCACGGTCGCGCAGAGTCAAGTGGTCGTGCTTGAACGCAAGGTAAATCCCGGTGCAGAAAAGGCTCGCGGCAAGGGTCGAAGCGAGCAACCTGCCCCGAATAACGGCAGCAGCGGCAACGGCAACCGTGGTGCGAGACAGGGCTCAGAAGGAGGATCTGGACCAGGAACACCATCCTCGTCTCGTGGACCGCGTGGTGGTCGTGGATCCAGGAACAAGGGCGGCTCAAAGAGCAAGGAAGCAAATGCCAGTTCAAACACGCCTAGTGGGAAGACTGGTGGGGAGGCGAAATGAGAAATGCAGGTACTGGCTGATAAGCATGTCGCATGTTACAGAGTAGTGATACCCATCTAATGACTCAAATGAAAGCGAAAGTTTTATGACTTAATCAAATCGAAAGGTTACCTACCATAAGCCCTCCCAACTCCCAAGTGCGACCAAGAGCGAGAAGTCCACGCAGAATTGCATCTGTGCTTTGACATACAGCAGCATCAATGAGCGATGGCGTTGCATAATGGTCCAAAATCTTTGCGAGCTACATATCTGTCAAGTCTACCGTGTGAACAATATGGTTTCATAAAACGATTGAATTGATTCTATCTAGTCTGTGTGGGGGGAAAAGTTTGAGCAAACTCCGATCGCTTGATTACACCAACATCAAAGTGTAAAAAAGAGGGGCACCTTTCAGACCTCCTCGACACCCACCAAGTCCGACCGACCGAAGTCTAGACGTCAGGACAAGGTCAAGATCATCACCACTCCCTGGACCAGAGCAACATCCAACAGCCCGAACAAGCTCGTTTTGCAACAAGTCGTTCAGAGCGTCGGAACGAAGCAAGGTCGAGGCGGGAGTAAGAACGGCTTCACTTTAGGGCATCGAGGACATAGCAGTCATCAGCAAGGGTGGAGATTCTGTGGCTCTTTAGAAGAGCTCAGAGGTGGGACGTCTACTCTAAAGTGATTCTTTGAACTGTGGCAGAGCTGTTAGCAAGATGTTTTGACTCGCAATCGAGAGGTTTTCCCAAAGGTAGGGAGGGGGAGAACATACGTAGAGTCGCTTGATTTCCAAAATGAATGGGATTTCGGGGCCTTTTATATTTGCGTCCTGGCACTAGCGAGTGCGCTAGCCTCAAGCGAAAATTTTTCTGTTTGCTTGGTTTGCCTGGTGGGGCTGTCCACTGGACCAATCA